GCTCTATTCAGGTTTTCATCACAACCTCAGACTGATCAATGTATCATGAGACTTTTGCTGAGATGAACACTTACAGATATATTAATTTAAACGATTCTAAAGAAAATGAGATTTTGAAAAAGATGACAAGATTACAAATAACAATCAACAGATAACTTTGATTTGAAAAAAGTTTGCTTTGTGTTACAGTGTATAAATGAGGTGTGAAACTCTCTGTATCAAATGGTGCTGCTTTCTTCATTAAAATCTGATTGAAAATGTTCCTTTTTACTCTACTGCCTGTGCCTGATAGTTTCAATTAATTGTAATGTGCTTTCGAAAACTAGCAAATGAAAAATGCTTACAAGTTATACCACAATATCAATATCCTATCATATGATATATGATTAAGTCCCTTTGAAAGCAAAATCATGGCTTTTCTGCATGATTATGCAGAAAATATTTTTTATGCATATCTTTTCAGCACTATTTGAACAGTCACTCCATTTCTCTGACAATATCTAACATTGCTATATCCTACTTTCACTTTGAATGCCTTACTTTCTTGACCCCAATCCCTGCTAATTTCTTTGTTTATGTACATAATGTATGTAATTTACATTGCTATATATCCTACTTTCTCTTTTACAGCCTTACTTTCTTTTGGATGGTGATATTCTCCCTGGCCTCTTCCTGATTTAGCTGACGCAGTGCGTTCTGTATCTGTTGTCTCTGCCTCTCCAACTCTAATTCCTTCTTGTAATCTAAATCTAAAACAATGATTTTCATGGACACGCTTTATAGGAAAAGTTATTTCCTGAAAATGAAGAGCATATGGTTCACAAGGAAATACCCTATTTCTAATTTGAAATGGCAATGGAAGTGCTTTAAAATATAGTGGAATTTCCCATGGTCTATATTTAGATTTGTATGTATACAAGAGCAAACTGAAAGTACGATGTTAAATGTATGATAGTTAAACATTTACACATACTTGTAGTGAACTATAATGGAATAATATAATTAGGTAATTGGACATTAAAAGTTGGATACCAAGATAGTAAGATCCTATAGTTTTCATTTTAAAATTTTGAAAGAAATTCAGTTCTATAATATCCCTCTAAATCATTATCAATAGATTAAATGGAATGAAGTAAATTGCATGTGCTTTGTTTTGTTTTTATTTGTTCTGAACTAAATTTTCCTGTAGATTTTAACTCCAGCTTAATATTAAATATATCTCAGTCAGTTTCTAAATACCTGTTCAAATTTCATAGTTACAACTGGAATACAAATCTTAGGACATATCCCTCTCAAATAGATTAACTTGGGAGTATTGATAATTAGGAATGTGTCTTATACTTTCTATATATTTGTTATTTAATAATAGTCTAACAGAAAAACACTGAAATTCAACAGTAATACTGATTTTCTTTTTAATACTGTATAAATCATTGTTAAATGTAACTCATCTGATTGAAAATTAATGAAACAGAATGTTGTAAACTTCCTAAAGCTTATAGAGTTGACAATTTTGCATGTTTTCTTTCTAAAGATGTAGTCCAACTTCCCATGAATTATTGAGCTGACATTCTGACAAGTTTGGCCTTGGATTTTCTGACAACTGTCAATGTTATCTTCCCACTGAGATACATAGCTGACAAGCTATCAGCTATTCTTTGGATTATTTATGAATTACCTGATCTGTCAGTTATTCCTGGTATTATCTATAACTCACCGGCTCTGTCCTGCTGCGGCGCCCGTTCCTGCTCCCAGCTGTCTGACGTATCACTGTCGCTCTCTTGTGTCGCTGCCTTCTTCTTACTGACAATGGATCGGATCTTCTCCTTCTTTGTTTTGCTGCGTGAGCGATGGTCCGAGTCTGAATCGCTTTCCTCAACCTCCTTCTTGTAATGTTTCTGTCGTGACCTGGGTTTCTCTGGACTTTCCTCAACCCTGAAATGTACATGTTAAAACACCTTATCAAACATTTTTTGATAATTACCTCTCATTTTAATGAAAAATTGTCAATGAGACTAAATTTAAATAGTTTACGACTATTATAAAGTTTTAAGTAATATGCATTGCAAAAATTGATTAGATTCTTCTTTCTTTGGATTTAATCATTTTTAGTCTAAGGAAAATGTTTCTAAATTTGTTTTCAAACCTAAGATAAGAATTTAATTAAAAATATTGCCTTTATATTTCATGAGCATGAAGACGAAAACATAAAATAACTTTTTTCACATTTCAGTGAACCAATAAATGGAAAGTTTTAAAAAAATTATTTTGAATGCATTCTTTATTATTAGGATTTATGTAAGATTTTAATTTCCAGAGAATAATTACAAGAATATTGATTTCTAGGAAAAAAAAATTAACCTTAATTTTTACCTGGATTTCTTGTATGGTGGACCGTGTTGAAATTTACAGCTGCTTCCAAATGCACACTCTCCGTTCAGTAACCAATGTCGGCACTTAGTGTTGTGATATGAAGATTCTCCGCGCTACAATTAAAGTTGTAAATTTCCTTAGGAGATAAAATCAACCTTAAATCAAAATTAATTTTGTCCTCATTATAAACTTGATCCAATTCAATAGTTTGTTTTAATCATTACTTTAGGTCTTTGAAACAACATTTTGATCCTATGGAGTTACCGAGTATGCAAAAACTTTTAATCCCATAAAATTTGAATCATTATGCCAATAAAGGTAAATAAAATACCAATGCAACAAATATAATTTTTTTAAAAACCTTCTGCAATATTTAGACTTTTACTGGTAAATAACTATTTCATACAAATATCACAAGACAACAGCGACAAGTAGTAAACAATAGTCACAAACAATATCCCACATACAATAATTTCAACATGTTTACTTATTCAGCTGCCTCTATACTCTATAGCTACTGATATGACTATATTCAATTTAATTTTTAAAACTGGGATTTAGTTCTCTGATGGTAATTTACATGCACAAATTTTGCAGCAAATATCTATACTATCGAGTGAGTGTACCATTGTGCATTATGCTAGTTTTCTGTAACTTTTAAATTTAGCTTTTAAAAGATTAAATAGAATGTTTTATGATTATAATTAATTTAGATGTACTTTTTTCCATAATGCAGTCAATTCCGCGGAATCTCATATTCTGTTTAATCCGCAGGTGGAAAATTAAGCGGATTTCTTAAACTTTCACTATATGCCTTGATTTTACATTAAGAATGTTAAATTGTTTGGACAAATTTCCGGAGGAAATTTGTGACTGCACATATAGCGTAAATCAATACCACGCAGAAAAAAGTACTTCTACAGTATATCGTTCTGATCATTTAACCATGTATTGGCAAATGTAGCGAAATAAACAGAAGAAGATAATTCTAGCTCAATGCTTTTCCTACGACGAATTCAGAGAGTGACAAATGTCAACATGGTGTGTCAATATGAAGCGAGAAAAACATTGAGAAAAAGAAATGAATTTTAATCTTGATCAGATGTGGATTTTTTACGTTAAGGCCATAATAAATAAATAGCTAGATTCTCATCCGAATTTTCTTTAAAATCGAGGCGGGCGGGCGGCTTTTATTTTATATTTTTTATTTTTTCAATTTTGCAGATTTTTTATTAACCTGGTCAATCGATGTAATTTTATCTACAATACCCGAATAAAAGTCATAGTAAAGGTTCAATTATCTCTTACTTCACATCATCACTGATCTTTTTTAACCAATGAGCCTTGTTTAAAATATATATGCATGTATTACAGCAATTACCATCTTTTCAGCTGTCAAAATCATGTCGACTTTCGCGGGATTTAAAACGAAAGTAGAATGGTAGATGAATACCGATCCCGATCAGAATTAAGATGAAGAAAAACAGAAATAAAAAAAATCGAGGCGGGGGTATAAAATCGGGGTGGGCGGGGATGAGAATCTAGGAATATTTTTATTATGGCCTAAAAGACAAAATTATAAAATCTAAAAAAAAAGGTTTGTTTTCAATTTTTGGTTTTTATTTTCAGGAATTTCAGCTATGTGGGATGTATATTAATTTTGAAGAGGCTTTCCCAAGACACAGTTAGATCCTGCTCACTAGTAAAATATCAACTCAAACTCTGGATTGTTATATTTTATGAAGTGCAATGAGGCATAATTTAGACAGGTCCAGTCCAAAGACTATTTCTACCTATGTAGCTATTAATAGCTACCTAGGTATTTAAAGCTACCCAAGTAGCTATTTTTAATTACCTACTTTCTGCTTTACTTGCATTTTGTGGCCAAATGCAGGAACGGCGCAACATGGTGAGCACAAAATTTTTTAATATAGTCACTCTAAAGATGGATATGACAAAAATTTGGCCAAAAAATGATTACTTCATATATTATCAATTTTGCATAGAAACTAATGTAAAATTACCATTTCAGGAAGTAATCATTTTTTGGCCAAAATTTTGTCGCATTCATTATTAGCGTGACTGTATCAAATGATATGGTATTCACCATGTTGCGTCGTTTGGTCTTTGTGCCGCAAAATGCAGAAATTATAAAAAGTAGGTAAAAATTGCTATTTTGGGTAGCTTTAAATACCTAGGTAGCTATTAATAGCTACGTAGGTAGAAATAGTCTTTGGACTGGACCTGTTAGACTAAGCTATGCAATATCCTGATAATCCACATGGATAATGATCTAATTGGATAAAAAATAAAACATGTCTACAATATGTCTCCTAAATATTTGTTGTCCAAACAATTTTAGTATTTCTGATAGGGTAAGGCTACGAATGATGCTATCACTCGAGTATGTTAAATTCAATGATGATAATTTTTACATCGTCTAGTTGTTTTCGAGCTCCGGGACCAAGCCTTTCAAAAACACTTGGTTTGCGTCTATCTCCCTCATCCGAGACAGACTTAGCAGAATCAACTGTTACTCTTCTCTTAATTTTGCTCATTTCACAACACCACAATACATGAAAATGGAATGCAAGCAAGTTTTCTATCACATCGATATTTCCACCCGTACATTAGACGCCATCTTGAAAATCACAGCCTAATCACAAAACCAGAGGCGCATCGGAAACAATTATTCCGGGAGTAATTTAGAATGGAAGTGTGTGTCGACTCTGTGCTATCCGCCATAAATGCAGAGAAAGGAGGTAATTTTACATTTAAGTGACATTATTTATTGTGTTATAATAAACAATACAGTCGAGTGTAAATAACATTTTACCCGTTTCATCCATTTTCAGGCGCCATACGCGTGGAACTTTGTGCCAATCTGTCAGAAGGGGGGACAACTCCTACCTCGGGTAATGGAAAATGTGTAAGAAATATTTTTGAATGCATTTTAATTAATAATTTAAGTGTCTACAGATGTGAAATATATTATAATGAGAAATTTACAAGTCAGTGAAAATAATATAGATAAAACTGCAGTCAGGAAGGAAGGAAATTAATTTTAAATACATCAGTTTAATTAATTCAATATCAAATTAAACGACTTGTGAGCAAATTATTAGGCACTCTTGGAAACTTAAAAAGTTCTCAGAAGTGAGACATAACAAAGAACAGCTAGAAGTTTTTTGTACCCCGGCTGAGAGGTACTGAGGGGGATATACTGTTTTACCCTTGTGAAATTCACCGTCTGTCTCTCAGTGTCTAAAATGTCTGTAACAAATTTCTCAGAAACTATATACTCATCGCAGATGCTTAAAATTTTAACACATTCTTCTCTGAGGCATGTCATATTTTGAGAGACATCAGAGCAGGGGTATTACTAGTGAACATTGGCTCACAGATTTTTTGTTTCATTTGTAACTAAAATTATAAATTGTCATCTTTATTTTGGTAAAAATCCTTTTTTTATTGTTTTGAAAATCAATACATAAATTATTTTTTCATGTGCCTTTATCACTTAATTTTGCATTGAATTTTACAAACAGGAATGTTGAGAACCATAAAGAAGTATGTAAAGATTCCGGTGTTTGTGATGATAAGACCCCGAGGAGGTGACTTCCTGTACAGTCAGGAGGAAGTCGAGGTCATGGAGGCAGAAGTGGTGGATCACAAACGAGCGGGAGCGGACGGTTTTGTTTTTGGCTTCCTGAAAGAGTATGTTGTACAGTACTGTAGATTCTATAAAGTATGGTTAACTGTTTAATTACAAGTATTAGCTAAGGCCTGCCATTGAATATGTAAAACAATGAGTATGAAAAATATTCTTTTTTTTTTTAACTGTAATCATTTAATTCAGAATAAGAGAATTTATTGTTTGATATAAATTTTTGTTTTTGTTTCAGGGATGGTACTGTTGACAAGGAGTTGTGTTCAAAATTCTTGGGTGAACATTTTATATAAATCATTACAAGTAAATGCGAACTAATGTCATTTGTTAAGAGTTATTTTTAACAGAATTATAAAAAAAAAATACTTCATAAATTTTGTTTCTTTTTATTAGAATTAACCAAGCCCTTACCAGCAACATTTCATAGAGGTAAGAAAAAAAACTTATTAAGGGAAAAAAGCTAAAACAATTTTATTATTGTTTATGGGATTCACAATCAGACTGTATTTCCAGTATTTATAGTTTATGTTTGTACTCATTATTAGCTATAGACATGACAAGTGACATTCTGCAGGCTTTGGATGATGTGGTGGATCTAGGATTTCAGCGAGTGTTAACGAGTGGAGGATCCTCTTCTGCTTTAGAAGGATTACCCATAATTCAGCAGATGGTTTTAAAGGTATTTCACTCTTGTTCATGTCCTCCTTGTAAGGGATAAAATGTTCATGTTTTTCTTAAACTATTATTCATTGAAAAATCTTATTTCTGACTTACAATATGAATTATAACATTTTACTTCATTTTTCAGGCTGACAAAAGAATATGTGTGATGCCAGGTAAGCAGGAGATACTGTATTTGAAAGAGGATTTAAGTCTTAGTGCTAATATTTTCTAATATGTATGTAATGAAATATATTCAGACAGTATGACAATATTACCCCCCCCCTTCTCTCTTTTCCAATGAACCCTTTTTGTGGTTCAATTTCATGGATATAACATTCATTTAAGGAATGAAGCTTCTTTCAACTCCTGTTATATGATATAAAACAATGAAGCGGTTTATAAAAAAAAGTGTAAACTGCTTCTAGTTATGTTATATTGCATAACATAAGTTGAAATAAGCTACATTCCTTATAATTTAATTTCAGTGTGTAGACATTGAGACAATTTTTCCTTCGGAAAAGGCTTCAAATTTAGCATATTTTAAGAATTAAAGTCAATTAGAGTGATACGTTTTTGACGTAACTCATTGTGACATAGGCAAGTTATGTTATACAAAATGGATTAGATCTTTTACCCAATCAAATGACGTGTTACAACTAAAATTAAATTATTTTTTCTTGGTTTTAATATTGGTGAAAAAAAAAACAATCTTGCAATTGACCTCATGCACCATAGAAATAGTTTAGGAGGAATCATCCAAGATTGTCTGAGCCTATCATAAATACAGCTGTATTCTTTTGCAGGTGGAGGTATTAATTCAGGGAATGTGGACAGAATTTTAGATGGTTGTGGAGCTAAAGAATTTCACGCATCAGCTCGATCAACTGTCCATTCCAGAATGCAGTTCAGAAAAGAGGGCATCTCCATGGGAGCTTCTCTGTGTCCTCCAGAATTCAGTGTGAAGGTCACAGATGAGGTCAAGGTTCAGAATCTTGTACAGAAACAACAGTGTAATAAAAAGTGACAAAAAATTTATGTAGTAATTTTTTTTTCAATAATACCAGGACAATTCCAAAATTCCAAATTAGGCCATCAATAAAAAAAATATTTTTTGTTTGATGTGTACATAGTACTCTGACTGATTCAGGGAATTCAAATTCATTAATTTTAATATGCAGGATATCACTATTGTTAAAATACTGTAGACGTACTTTTTTCCACGGAGTCAAAATTCCGCGGAATCTCAATTTCTGTTTAATCCGCGGGTAGAAAATTACACAGATTTTCTAGATTGTCACTATATGCCTTTTATTTCTATTAAGTACGCTTGGACAAATTTCCGCGGAAAATTTGTGACCGCGTACATAGCGTAAATTAATACCACGCGGAAAAAAGTACTTCTACAGTATATTAAATAAGTAAACGTATCAGAAATGAATTTCTTTGACTTTTCATGTATTTGATTGGTTAAACTATGCAGCTCAGTATGGATATACCGTATACAGTGGACCTTCAGATATCCGGACGCCAGATATCCGGATGCTTCAGTATCCGGACGATTTTTCATTGGAACAAAATTTTTAAATGCTATTTTGTCTTGTTTAACTGGTGATTCAGATATCCGGATGCTTCACTTATCCGGACAAATGGATTGGGAACCAAAGCGTCCGGATAAATGAGGGTCCACTGTAAGTGGAAATTTTAGCAAGACGCAAATTTAGCTATTTGTCCTCAAAAAGCGGTACATATATTCAATTTTTAGCGAGATGTAATGTTAACGATTTTAAAATGCTCACTAAAGAAGCTATTTCAAATAAAATGCTATTGATTTTAAGCGATATTCAATTTTAGCGATCTCAGCTCCCTCACTATTAATGCCAAAATTAAACCCTAGCTAAAAATTCTGCTTTCAGGGTATATATACATGCAGCTTTATGATGACTCTTGCTTTATCTCAGAAATTACATATGATTTTGTTGTCCTAGAAAATCTATAAGTAAAAGTTATGTTTAACTCAATAAGTCTTAAGATTATAGTTAAATGCCAGCATCCATTCCACTTGAAAAATATTAGAAAGGAAATAGAGCAGTTTATTTATTTTATTTTATTAGTACTAAATAAAACAACTGAATCACTGCGCCATAATTTACAAATCATGTACAGAAAAAAAGTCAACCTTTCCTGTAAAAATGAAAGGTTTTTCTATTTAAAATAAAAAACTAACATAATACAGGTGCTTGAGCAGGCACTATATACTAAAAAACATATTGAGATAATTTTAAATCAGGCGCGTAGCCAGCATTGAAATGAAGTGTACGCAGAAAATGGTCGGGGGTCTGGGGGTAAAATTATAAATAAGTTGGTACAGGGCAAAGCCCTGGTGGGGTTCAGGGGATAAATTACAATTGGATTTTACGAAATTATTCAGTCATTTTCCTTTAAAAGAAATCACGCTACATCTCTTTTCTCATGCAAACACTTAGCTAAGTTATACTTCCATGGATACTTCAGGAAGAGAAGGATAATTTGATCAAATTAATTAACGAATATATTGATATTGAAAAAAAAAGTTTCCAAGTGTGTCAAGATAAAACAGAGAAGTAATTTAATAAGTTATCATTGGAGTTAAAGTATTTCAAAATATAAACGGGGATGTGGGTCTTTTGATAACCTTTATATTCTGATAGCTTAAACAATGTGAGAGTACTTTAATTCTATAAATTGGTAACATCAGTAAAAGAAGATATTCATAAATGATCTATATTTTTATTTACTTTGTTCAGTAATTTGAATTTTGCCATATTTTTTTTGTTTATCGATATTTATTCATTACTTCAACGGTCAAAAAACCAAGGTTTTATTGTACATAGTTGTCCAAAATAAAAGTTTTTCTTTAGATCAATGTCACTTAGATCGCTTTCCCTCATCAAATACATGTATTTGTCCGGATAATCAGGATTAAGCGGATTAAGCATTGAAAATTTTGGTTCAACAATATTTTCAACACTGAAAGAATTTTGGAATTCATTTGATAAAAGACTGGATTTTAACAATATTCTGAACAAAATTTGAATAGAAACAATAGGACGTAAAATAATTTGAAAGACAGATAGTGCCTCTTTTTCTCCGAATAAATCTCTCTTTCCTTTTTATTCTTTTTTCTTTCTTTCTTTTCTTTTTTTTTCTTTTCTTTTTTTTTTTGAAAATGATGTGTACGCACTTGCGTACTTGCGTATAGGCAGCTACGCGCCTGTAAATGAATTGTTGTGCATGTGATTTTTTGAATTATTTTTATCTTGTGAAATTATAAATAAGGGTACATTTTACTTATGAAAGGTTCTTCAAGTTGGTTAAATTACAATTCAATTTTTAGATAGATATTTATATGCAGTTTGTAGCACAAGGTTATAGAAAAGTGTTGCAATGTCTCTATCCATGCAGCTATTTATCTGAAGATAATTTCAGTATAAACAAGTTATCAATTTAAACATAACTGGCAGAACCATATTTCACTGTATCACAGACATTTCTTAAAAACACATGTTAAATAATATTGAAAATTTAAGCATTGACACGCAGTGACGTTTATTTTTCACAGAAAAAAACTTAACCAAGATTTTTCCATAAATGATCATAGTATAACTATTACACATGTAGTAAATGATAAAACATTTAAGGATTAGAATTTAATGTAAACATATGAGATGATTTCCTTGAAACGGAAACCTCTTGCTTACACAGGTAATTAACTTATTAATTTACTCTTGAAGCAAGAATAATGAATTATTAATTAAAAATTAATATAGATAAGATATGAAAAGTCTTGACACAAAGTATCTAATCACACAGGTACATGTACAAAAATATCTTGAACTAATATCACATATATAGTCACCATGGAAATAGAGACTAGATTAGAGGAATTCAATCATTTTTGAAAGCACATTATCTGCAGTAACTGACCGCTGGTTCCAGTAATTGTAATAATTATAGATTTATGTACATCTGTCTGAATTCTTGCCTGGTATACAAAGGCAAAATAAAGCTTGAAGAACGGAAAAAGATTACAAAATTTCACTATTACTGAATCCAATGATTTAAAACCAAAAAAAATGACTGCCCTCTTGGTATTGGAGCTTGTTTGGTGTAAAATGCATATTTATATAATTTTGTGTAGAACGCCATTTAATTTTAAAAAAAGTTAAATGGGAAGATTATCCTTTATTCAGCCCCTTCCTGATTCCCAGATTCATCCTTAATTTGTTTCCTGTGTATCCTCTGTGGCTTCCTGGTTTCCTTGAGATTCCTGCTGACTTTCCTGTACTGCTGTCTGATTTCCTTCTGTTTCCTCCGTAATTTCCTTTGCTTCTTCTGTTGTTTCCTCTTTTACTTCCTCATTTTCTTCTGCCTTTTCCTCAGTTTCCTCTTTTGCTTCTTGATTTTCTTCTGTAACCTCCTGACTTTCCTCTGTCACTTCCTGACTTTCCTCTGCCATCTCCTGCTTTTCCTCTGTTTCCTCCTGCTTTTCTTCCACAACTTCCTGGTTTTCTTCTGCTTTTTCTTCAGGTTCCTCGTTCACCTCCTGGACTTCCTCTGTCACCTCTTGAGTTTCCTCTGTCACTTTTTGAGTTTCCTCTGTCACTTCCTCTTTTTCCTCTGTTTCCTCCTGCTTCTCTTCTTCCACCTCCTGGTTTTCCTCTGTCACTTCCTGTGTTTCCTCTTCAGCTGTTTCCTGGTGTCCTTCCTCTTCATTTGTTTCTTCTACTTCCTGGTTGGCATCCTCAATTTGTTTGTCATCAGAGTAGAAACAGGTACTAAGTTCTACAACAGTTATTTATATTTAACAATGAATTTACATTACATAGAATTGGTGTACCCCATGAATTTTTTTTAGACAAACTGAATTTTTATGAGAAATTACTAAAAAGAATTTACCTTGGACCCCCCTCCTCCGCTGTGCATCTTAAGAAAATTGACCTAAGCTTGTCATATCCCATCTAACACATCTAACTACAATGTACCTTGTCACAAAATGTCTGAAATAAGTTAAAATTTGTTTTCATGTTTATCCCCCCCCGTTAAAAAAAATCTTTCTTTTTGATTGATTTCTTTTATAATCTATTTATCATTTTACCTGTGTTGGCAATAGCACCATCTTTGTTACTATCAAACTGTGTCAGCATCATGCTTGCATAAGTCCTCTCCGTGTCGTCGAACTGTTCGCCGAGTTCGGAGAGTTTTTCCAGGAGTTCGTCTATATTGACCGCGTCCTGTCCGGGAAATAGAATGTCCAGACTCTCCATTAGGGAGTCCCGCATCTGGGGCTTGGACTTGATTCGGTCCTGGATCCATTCGTGGAATTCTTCCTGATTTAACTGAGAATTTTCTACAAAAAGGAATGAAATGGTTTTTCAAGCTGTACGTAAATCCAAAAAAGTTTTAAGATTTTACTGCATGTTCGTAGCATTGTCTCATTTTTGCAAACAAGCCCAATAATATATTCTATAATATGCAATTGTAATCAGTGTAATCATATATTGTAATAATTTGTTCATGCCCCCGAGGGTCCTTTAAAGTGACATATTTTTTACATTTCCTGAGAATTAGGATGTTGAAAATGTGAAAAGTTTACAGATAGATAGGCACACAGAGAGAGGGACAGAATTGTTTCAGAGAAAAACTCGAGCTTTCAACTTTTGTTTGTGAAAAAATATCACATCTTTTAAGGACCAATGCATGAATGCATGCGTTTTCTCTCAAATTCTGCCAATGATATTTTTTGCCCTGCCCTGAATCAATTTAAAAGTCAAGCATTCAGACTGTGCTTTTCTATCGCAGCATTCAATGCCGTTTTAGTTCAATGAAGGATAGCGAGAATCAAGCTGATTTTCTTTATTGATCTGAAAATCGACTAAAAAAGAGCTAAAGAATTTCATAGCAAAAGTTGAATTTGTTTGATTTTATCTAAATTGAAAAAAATGATTGTCCACATTTTTCTCGAATTGTGTGACCTGCATGTATACGCACAAGGGGGGAGGGGGGTAGTTATTCAAGGTAGAATCTATCTCATATTTGGAAAATAACTATTTTGATGAAAATAATTTCACTGAATCTAATGGGAAAAAATGATGAATATTTTACAAGTTTTGAGGTGTACTAAAATATACCATCTTTATCGTGTTCGGCGAAGATCTTGTCTACTACACATTGCGGTGGATCCGCGCCCAGACATTGTAAAACTCTCTTAAATCCCTCCTTGTCCAGCAAACCTTCCGTGGCGAACCGGTCAAAATACTGCTGGTAGCCTGAAATATACAGTAAATCAAAAATACTACTGGTAACCTGAAATATAAAGTAAATCAAAAATACTACTGGTAACCTGAAATTAACAGTAAATCAGATCTTATAAGCTAGTACTCTTCTCCTACTTCACATTTAATCCGAATTATCAACCATTTAATAATTCAATCAAATGTACATGTAATTCATAGAATTGACATTGCTGTGTAATTTAAAATACGGTTAAACCTAATATTTTAGAGCTTAAGGTAACGTAAATGAGATTTAACGTAATATTAACCATATGTCAGTATTGGAAAGAGGGGGTGGGGTGTTGGTGCGTATGTTGTACAAAATACTTGAAAATAGGGAGTTAAAAGACCTTGCAAAAATCTAAGTCTGGTACAAACAACATTTCAATATTAACAGCGGTAATATTGTCAACAAAATCATAACGCTTCTAAAGCAAACATAGAAGTATACTTTAAAAACCATCAATACTTCAAAATCTTCACAACTCTGAATTCAGAAACTTTGGATCAAAGATACGGATCACAACATTGTTTAATAAAATGTAAGATAATATTTTAATATTTCGTGTATATTTACCAATACAACATTTGTTTTGGGTGATACTGAAATATGTTTAAAATATCTACCTATGTTGTTAAGTGTTAAATTTTTTTTTTAAATTTATTATTTATTGACATAGGGTCGTAAATCTATCGTTGAATACTCGAAACAAAACTGGAAAACTTACTGGCTTTTTCTACTTCACCCTGAAAATAAAATAAAAGTACAATTTAAATTTCAGACTTTATGAATTAAATAATAAAAGTCACGTTCTCATTCAATAGAATTTAAAGAATATGACTAACTTTATGATGCACATATATACATTCATGGGTCGTAAACTTTGAGGTATTATTGTAAAAATTGATGAGACTGGGTTATAAAGGCATCGATCAGCTAAACTTGAGCATTTTAAACCGAATCTCGATAATAAACCGTCATCGAAATTTATAAAGGAGGGTAGGTTTAGACAGTTTATGGTTGTATTTCACTCACGAAAGACACGGGGATAAATTTACGGGAATAAATTTGGTGTTTTTTTTTTGTAATTGCTTGAAAGAATTCCCGCTTCAGGGTGGATTGATATCAAACGATCAAGAGAATCTTCTGTCGATTAAAGGACATTTAATCACGCAATTTCAAATCATTTAATGCATTACAGAATAAGTAGAATGTAAAGAATTTGATGTGTACACAGGTTGATTAATTTATATAGAAATTTACGGTAGAGAAAAGCAATAAACAAAAACAGCAAGGCGCTATTTTCTACAGAAAAAAATATGTTTCTTTTAATAATACATGTATGTTTATATTTTATTTGATTATTTTCATTTAATTAAACAACATATTTTTAAGCATCTTGACGCTTTAAAAATTGCCTTTTTTTTGTTGTTGAAATTTGTCAAAAAATTAACAAAAACTAAAAAAAACATAATCTTTAGTGTTGAGAAATAAACTATATTCTTAAAAGCAAAATAATTTGATTTACGAAGTCGATCTAAAGATGTAGATCAACATGCTCAAACAACAATCGTCTATTTAAACTTCTACTAAATAACCATCACTAACTCGTATCTAAGATCGAGATGTCGCCGGTAAAATAAAAATCGCGTCAAAATCCAGGAAATTACGGCGCCGCTGGAGGGCCAGGTAAAAAAAATATTTTTATTTGTTCGGACAAATTAGAAATTCGTTCGGACAAATTAGTTATTTGTTCGGACGAATTAGATATTCGTTCGGACAAATTAGAAATTCGTTCGGACGAATTAGTTATTTGTTCGGACGAAATGGATATTCGTTCGGACAAATTAGAAATTTGTTCGGACAAATAAGTTATTGGTTCGAACAAATTAGATATTTGTTCGGACAAATTAGAAATTCGTTCGGACGAATTAGTTATTTGTTCGGACGAAAAAAAAATTCATACGAACGAATTAGTTATTTGTACGGACGAATTAGAAATTCGTTCGGACGAATTAGTTATTTGTTCGGACGAATAACAAATTCGTTCGGGCAAATTAGTTATTTGTTCGGACGGATTAGATATTTGTTCGGACAAATTAGATGTTCGCACAAATTATCTTGTAAAGAGAGATATACAATTTGTCTATTCAGGAGGATCCATCCCTTTTTAATACATAAATAGCTCTTTTGACCATGACATGTGCACACGTTGCAACTAGACATGTGCTAATAAAGTCGGGTATGTTGATTGTAAATATTCAGAAATGATGGTTCTATACCGGTATATATTTTAGGCCTTAAGTCTGCCATTCTGAAAGTATATTATCTGAGAGCCCACTAGTAAATTCAAAGGGTCAGTTACTTCTTATCAAACATCTTTTCACTCCCATCCCTGACACACTCATAAGATTTGTCATAAATAAACATCATCTGGTTCTACCGGACCAACTTTTGCTGGTGGTGTTAAGGGGTGCTAGTGGTCAGTTACCGCTTCTTTGAAAAGATGAGATCCACTCCTTAAGGTTTTATTCATACCGCAGGCAATTGGTACGGGAAAAAGTTGGCATTGAAAAAGTAAGCTTCCCCCCCCCCCCTACGAAATAGGACTGTCAATTTTGGGAAACTTTTCGTGTGTACCTTTTTTTTTTTTGCTTGTCAACTTTTTTTTTTCTCACCCCCCCTTTCAAAAACGCTGATACGTGGCTTCATTGTATTATATTAAATAAACTTCGGACTCAAAATATCGAGCCTCAAAAATTAATCGATGGGTCTAAATTTTTTTAAGATGGGGCTTAATAGCTAGGACATTTGTAGTTTTGCTTCTATACCGCTGTTCCCACATTTAAGTATTTTGTGATAAAGGAACAAAAAGAGGGAATCTCATAAGTCCATCTCCAATGGATTGTTTCTAAGATCGTTAAAAACTATTATTAAGTATCTATATAAATTTTATTTCATATTTAAATTTCAGAAAAGCGCGTGAATTAAAACATGCAGGTATAATATTGAATTATTAATTAATTACACGTCCCTTTCCGGGAAAAGGATAAAAAATAGATGAATTCATGTGCGTTCCTAAAAAGTGCAGTAAAATTTAAAAACACTTCATAATTTAATGCAAGTTAAGCTTCTCAATAATTAAGACAATCGATCGTTTTTAAATAGAGGAAGGGGGGGGGGGTTGTTACTTGAAAATATTTTGACATTCATTCATTCATGATCGATTTATTTTCCCCATAAAAGGGGTTAGTTTCATAATTTCCCTTTCTAGTGAGTCATTGGCCTATCAAACCTTCGAACTGGTACTCAACTGTAAAAGTGTATAAACAAAATTAAGGAATGCTGAAAGTGAAATTAAATAGTTTGTTCGACTACATGTACCTCTACAATAAGGGGAGGTGGCAATAATCAATGGACTAGGGAATATACCAGATTGACCGGTTGACATCTTAATTCACCGGCTCGCGAGTCATAGGAACAACTTGAGATAAATACGAACAGGTTCATTTTTGTGAAGTTTTCTTAATTTACAAACAGGAATATTTAATTAAAAACTCAATGAGGACCTTTTTTTTCATTTTATACACCGCATATGTACCAGATTGATTGATTGAATGTTTTACGCCGAATCGGCAATATTTCAGCCACATATCGGCGACATATGTATCAGAAATGTATTTCAAAAATCATTAACGTCATGATTAATAAATGCAGGGTAGTGAATATGTACGAGGGTTGATCTAAAAGTTCGTGGAATTTCTTTCTAAAATTTTATCGTGATTTGGTGAAAGCAAACAACAGGCATATTTCTAATATAGAGTCATAAAGCAACAATACTGGAAAATTTCACAACTTTCCAATTACCAATAAGGTCACACGAGCTTTCTGAAAACGGATTGTTGTGAAACCCGGGGGAGACTTTGACGTTACGTTAAGTTTGATAGGTCACGTCACGTTATAGAAGCATCTCACCCTAATGTACAATTCAAATACGTAATTCTACAAATGCTGCCCTTTTCTCTATTTTTTTTTCTCAAGAAAAGCCTGGGTATCCTCTCGCACCAACTTATCTTCATTTTTCGCTCATATTTCAAAATACTCCCCATCTTTCCATATGATGTTACAATTTCAGTAGCAATGTGAAGAACAGTACGTCAGCCGACATCGTCCGTTAACGCTTTTAATTTATCTACGGGGATAAACACCCCAAAAAGCGGTCACACCTTTAATTAATGTCCATGGACGTTCTATTTTTCTAAAATTTGTCATATGACACTGGAAAACCAGTAACTAAATGCATCTAACTGGCCTAAGTCAATAATATACGCGTTTAATATAGAGTGATCCCGAAATTTTCACAAAACTGATGACTTGACCGAAATTTGACGTTGTCTAGCAACTTAAAGATGAGCAATAAATCACAAACTAATAAACTAAATATACGGTAAAATCAGTAAAACTCTCACACAAAGGTTTATAAAAGATCAAGCAATCGTAGTAATGACACAATATTCCTTTAATATACCACATCGGGTGGTTTTATTCTCATTTCTCGTATTTTAGAATTAAAACGATAATAAACGCTTTAATGTCTCCCCCGCATTTCCAAACAACCGTTTCCATGGCAACTGCCATAAAGTTACTATCATAAATATTTAAAATGTTTTTTTATTTAAAATATTCAACAAGTGTCTATATTCATAAAAATTATAAGAAAAAGATCAACATTAAAACGACTTATCAAAATATTTATTGAAAATGGTGTTCATTAAAGTTATTTTGCAAAGAATCAAAATAAAATGAAACGTCTTGGTGCAAATCGCACATTAATCGCGGTGTCCTGACAGTTGTTCACATTTTGTCTAATTTGTCCGAACAAATAACTAATTCGTCCGAGCGAATTTCTAATTCGTCCGTACAAATAACTAATTTGTCCGAACGAATATCTAATTCGTCCGAACAAATAACTAATTCGTCCGAACGAATTTCTAATTTATCCGAACGAATTTCTAATTTGTCCGAACGAATATCTAATTCGTTCGTACAAATAACTAATTTGTCCGAACGAATATCTAATTCGTCCGAACAAATAACTAATTCGTCCGAACGAATTTCTAATTTGTCCGAACAAATAACTTATTTGTCCGAACAAATAACTTATTTGTCCGAACAAATAAATTATTTGTCTGAACAAATTTCTAATTCGTCCGAACGAATTTCTAATTTGTTCGAACGAATATCTAATTCGTCCGAACAAATAACTAATTCGTCCGAACGAATTTCTAATTTGTCCGAACGAATATCTAATTTGTCCGAACAAATATCTAATTCGTCCGAACGAATTTCTAATTTGTCCGAACAAATATCTAATTTGTTCGAACAAATAACTTATTTGTCCGAACAAATATCTAATTCGTCCGAACGAAGTTCTAATTTGTCCGAACGAATATCTAATTCGTCCGAACAAATAACTAATTCGTCCGAACAAATTTCTAATTTGTCCGAACAAATAAAAATATTTTTTTAGCTGGCCCTCCAGCGGCGCCGTAGGAAATGAACAAGCACGGTTTAATAAAACAATGTCGTTGCTATGGAAAACAAGTGAAAAGATTTAAAAATCGACTTACCATGTTAATTTTTTCTCCTTATCGAGGATATTCCTAACGACTGCTAGGGCCCAAACTGTTTGTTTACAACAACCATACACAAGGTATAGAAGGGAATAAGATTGCGATTTAAACCGACTTTTCTATCATATCTTAGGTTTCGCGCCATTAGCTCTCTTTTAAAGTTCAAAGTAAATACAACGTAAAGGGAAAATTTTAAGTTGTAAGCAATTGACATCTGAAAGATTTAAAAATCAAAATAAGATTTTCTGTTCTTCGTTCCTGGAGGGGTTGGGGAGGGGAATGTGTGAGTATGGGGAGGGGGGGTTATGGTGAACTTCGAGCACTTTCCTCAGACATTGTGTCTTGATTTTCCATTAACGCCCCTAGTTACCCACAGCAATTTTCGCCCGATAGGTTTTAAATACCACATCTACCTAAACATGTATGGATTAAAAATATTTAAAAAGGAAAATTTCAGCTCGTTTGAATAGCCCTTGAAGCAGCATAAATTTTTACTTATCGTTAAATTATTCATTCGAGTACTCGTATCCTCGCCTGTCCGTCTAGAGAATACTTCATTATAACTTGCAGGGGGTCGCTGTCTTTGCATGAAAGGTCGTTATAGGTAATTCCCCATAAAAAGATTTTGATTGTGGGGGATATTGGAAAATAAGTGTCTGAAGTGTGAGAACTGTATTCAAGAAGTTAACCGTTGCGCGCCGAAGGTAAAAATGCTGTCCGAAAAGTGTAAAACGTTAAATAAAGAAAGTATTACCCATCGATTTCTCGAAAGAATAAAAAAAAAGGCATCAATAGGATTGAAAGTTTAAAATTTAAAAAAAAAAAAAATTTTCATTGATTTGCATCAATAATGGATCGACCGTGTCTCTAACAAAACAAGTACAAATACATTCGAACTTCGGTATCTCGAATATCATGGATATATACATGTACAGGTGAGTTTCAATATCTCGTACATATTTTATCGAATACATGTACCTTAGATAAGCAAAATGAGGTGGCTCTCTATCAATCTTAACCTTAGTGTCTAGAATCCGTAGATATTTCCAATCTTCTCGAGTTCGAGATTTCGAATTTTGTTTACCAGTAGATTTCTTGGATCCGCGCCGTTTACACACACACAAAAAAAAAAAAAAAGAAAGAAAAAAAGAAGAATCAGTCTCCTAAAACTCCTAAACGTCATTTCGTGAAAGAGGTGGGGGGGGGGGGGTTACAAATATTATTAATCTTCAGATGTACGCACGATCTTTCTATTTTTAAGATAGCTGCAGATCTGTAGCTCTCCGAAAAAAAAACATATCGATAGACCGGTCTATCGATATTTTTTTTTTCGGAGAGCTACAGATCTGCAGCTATCTTAAAAATAGAAAGATCGTGCGTACATCTGAAGATTAATAATATTTGTAACCCCCCCCACTTTTTATTTTAAATTTTTTCTTACTCTCATGTTGTAAATTTTGAATTTACCGGTTGGCAGTAAATACAAAATTTACAACATGACATTACTTTAACAAGGCTTCTCTTTAAGACCACAAATCACGCCAAAGGATTTCTTTCATGTGTAAATGAAGCTATTGAAGCTCTCGTTTGAAGGAATCTTCAGACACATTATATATGTAATTTATCAAAACTAGTTGATAAAAATGATTCTCGTCTCTGACAAAACTTTTACAAAACACCCGCAAAGATGACAATACTGTTCAATGTGGCCTTTTAAACTTTCTCTTAATATACAGATAAGAGTCGGGACCCACAGAGACAGAATATTTTGAAATGAAATAATTTTCCCCGCTGATAACTTTTCATTAAAACCTCCGATAGCATTTAATAACAAAGGCCTTAAAATCCAGCCCCACTAAAGTAGACTTACTGCTTATAAATCCCTGATATTATTCTCAGAATTAAATGTAAACTTTGAAACAATCCCGGGGATGAGAAATAATTGACTTTGTCGGCGGCAGTCTTTATTCCTGTGATCTGTGTAAACATTCTTAAAAATTAAGTTTTATTGAAGTCAAGTGACGTTTAAAAAATCTTAACATGTTAAGGTATATATAGGAGAATATATTAGTTGAAATAGCTCAACTAGTACCCAGGTTTCATATTCTTGATTTCTTTGGAGATCGAATTAAAGTTAACGTAAGACCAGTTGAAAACAGACTGACATTTTTACAAAATACACATGCACAACTGTAGAAGGAGCCAGAAGAGTAGCTCATATTACCCCCACCCCTTCCTAAACTTTTAATAAACTTTATGATGTTAGGTTTTCGGAAGGGAAGAAAATAAAATCAAGTGTAGGGTACTGAGGATACAGATATATCTAGATGTATATTTATTTCCTGTTTCCTAAGAATTTTTATGCCCCCGTTATCTAAGATTCAGAGGTACATGTATATAGGTTATAGACACATTATTTAACTAATCTTTATACATTGTATTTTATCCATTTCTCAATTGCAACCCTTTATAGTCGTCTCTACGAGTGATAAACTCGCTTGATTAAACTTATTTGTTAGAGTGCTGAAAATTCACTTCAAGTGAGTTTATTGCCTGTAGAGACAACTATAAATAGTTGGGAGGTGGATAAAATATACATATTGGCTACAGAATTTGTCTAGAATTAGGGAGTGAAAGGTAGTTGATTAACCAATTCTAGAAAGTGGAGAAATTCTCCCCAAAAGTGCGCAAAAAATATTGCGCCGTAAATTGCACCTTTTTTGCATTACGGGATCTGTAGCGTTATGGTCAAAGACAAATAAATAAAAGCATAACGCTACAGATCTGCAACCAGGTATTGCCCTGTCCGTCCGTCTGTTTGTCCGCAAAAACTTTAACCTTTGCCGTAACTTTTAAATAGATGGTGCTAGGGCTTTCATACTTCCCATGTATATTCACTATGACAAGACCTTTCAATGGAAATAATTTTTTGACCTTTTGACCTTTTGACCTTGACCTTAGAGTTTGACTCACTTAAATTTTGAACTGTTAGTATTAGGGCTTTCATATTACACAAGTGTTTTACTTGTGAAAAGACCTTCTTTTGGACACCAACAATTCTAACCTTTTAATCTTGATCTCTCGCATTTGAGAAACTTCAACCCTCGTCATAAGCTCTTATACAGGACATCAGTGTTTGACAAATAATGTACGTCTTGTATTTATGCCCCCAAAATCGAAGATTCGGGGGTATTAGTTTTGTCGTGTCCGTCCGCCCATCTAGCTGTTTGTCCGTAAAAACTTTAACATTGACCATAACTTGTGATTTAGTGGAGCTATGACTTTCATATTTCATATGTTTACAAGACCTTTCTTTTGGTACCATCAAATTTGATCTTTTGACCTTGCAAGGTCATAACTGCATAGGGGCAAGCGAGGCAAATGCCTCAATAAAATTTTTAAAGCTCTCTGAAAAGTGAAAAAAAAGTTTTTCATTGTGTCTTAGTACTAAATTAATACAGCATTTGTTTCAATTTCTGTATCAGATCACCAGTTGCCCCAATTTTTGTTTGTTTGTTTGTTTGTTGTTTTTTCTTTTGGAACGCATGTATTTGTTTGTTTAATGTCTTTTCCGTGTATTTTTCAATCATATTGAGACCCCACCACTTGTAATGAACGGCTGCAAATTTTTAACAATACACTCGGTACTTAGCCTTTATTAAACGACGAGGGATCTTTTTTGTTTTATCAGGTACTGCAACATGGGGCCTCTGTTTACATTGTCTCATCCAAAGGACTGGTTTCCACATCCAGCAGTGGAATTGGAACCCGTGACGTAAGGATCAACTCCTTACTCCGCGACTCTAGAGCAGACGCATTTACCACAGCGTCAAGCGGGCGACAATTCTAAACGTAAAATATTTCAAACATCAAGTCTTTAATTTGCTGATACCCAGATTTTGGGAACTTCCCCTCCCCCTGAGATCCCCCACCAGGAACTACCATTGCCTCGCTTGGTACTAAGGTGCCCCACAGCCCTTGCCTCCCTTATAATTTGAGCCTAGTTACGGCATTGCCTTGACCTTGGAGTTTGAGACACATTTACACAAAAATTCCAAACTTTTTACTTTGACCATACATGTAACTTTTGTAGATTACTTTGACTTTCATATTTCACATACGTATTCTTTGTGACAAGACCAATTATTGGATACCAACGATTTTGACCTTTTGATCTTGGAGATTTATGTACATGTACTTTTAACAAAACTGAGCCAAACCTTTGGAACGGTAAGGACGAGGGCTTTGAAATTCATACTTCACATATGTAATCCTCGTGACAAGACCTTTCTTTAGAAACCATCAACTTTGACCCTTTGACCATGGAGTTTGATATACAAAAAACTTATCTGTGACTGTAACTTTTGAACAGGTGGTGCTAGGGCTTTCATATTTCACAACTGTATTTCCTGTGACAATACCCTACTTTGGGTACCAACATATTTAATTTGAATTTAAGAAAAGTTTAATCTTTGCGATGTTGCCATACGGGGGCATCTGTGTTTCACAAACACATCTTGTTTTTTTTTTACTTCCAAAAAAAAAAAAAAAAAAAAAAAGGAAAAGAAAAAAGAAAAAAGAGGCAGCAATCAAAACTTTCAATGAAGTGCAATTAAGTATTAATTCTGGAACTAAATAAATAAAATTCTTTTATCTCTTAATTATTCACATCAGATATTCTTTGTGATTTTTATAGACTTTTGGTTTTCTGTTTGTTTGTGTTTTTTTTTGCCTTAAATTTTATGAATGAATACAAGGTATTGATATTTAAGACAGATAAGAAAAAAACAAATAATCTCAATATTCGTCATTGAATTTATTTTTTGAATATCAATCTTATTAATTATTTATCATTTAGTCTAATTTATGAGGAAGATATAATGAACAAGCCTAGACTAGATTGAAAATTAATAATCCCATACATTGGTACAATTAATTCTTTCTTTTTTTCATTATTGAAAAGAAAAATCTCATGAATAGAAAAATAAATATATATAATATATATATTCACACATGTATATGAATATCCTTTTTGATATCTTTCTTTATGGAAATCATCTGTCATGAGTAAATTCAAAATCACAAATTTTAGGTATAATTATACAAACATGTTTATAATGATTTTTTTTAAACATTTGTAAATCCTGCATATGGGGAAAGTTGAATCAAAACTTAATCTGTTCTATAGTTAAATATATCAATTGAAATCATTCAAGAAAATTAAGATTGAAAAGACAAATCATCCCAAAGCCCAATACAAGGTTTAAAACACACCTTAAAACATCATATATTTTTTGTACAAATTTTAAGTTATTAAATGTATCAAAAATACAAGGTTTTGAAAAATAGTCTAATATCATAACATTTTAAAAATGGTTTTCTATGAAGCAATTTTTGTAAATCTAACCATTAATAAAAAATTATCAATTTAAATAAGATTTTAACATTTATTCTCAACAATCATGAAAAAATAGAAAAATATATAAAATTCTCACTTTTAGTAACATATTCATTAACCAGCACACTTGACACCTTATTCCATATATTCTTAGCACCTTTAATAGAAACATGAAATAGCAAAATACATTAAAAATTGTTACCTTCAACACTACAGCACATATCATTTTAATACACAAAGCCAGCAGTTGAATCACTGCAAGATTTCTAGGAAAATTTAAGGGAAATATTTTTTTTATTTAAATTATAAACTTCCAAGAGTTCTCCAATGCTAAATGTATGTTAAAGCTCAGACAAGAATTTATTAATGGTACATGTATATCTTTTATTTGCCTTTGACCTTGAACATGCCAGAAGGACCTGAGGTCAAGGTCGAGATTAACCCTCTTGTCCAAATCAGTCTTTCCACTGTTAGAGCTTGTAACGATTCTCCATAACATGATAGCATGGAAAAGAAATGTCTGTGTTTTCTGTCGGTAATCTTGAACTTTCTTTGTAAAATGACCTTGAAACAAGGTTATACCAAACCCTCACAATTCCCTGAATAAATCTTCAAGAGCAGACAACAGTTTACTGTACATCTTACAAAAAGATGAATTGGAAGACAGGGGAAATTTATCACATACAGAAAAGTATTATTTCAAAATTGCACAAAAATAATTCTAAAACATAAATATATTTTAACCTGCAAACAATGCTCACTTAAACATATGCATACAATACATATACAATATAATTATATTGTAAACAAACCAACCAAAACATAAAATGATAAGCAAAAAAAAAAAAAAACCCCAACCTCAAAACATCTCACTGATTCTTTGTGTAAGTACTGTATAAATTAAGTAATTAACATACAATGTAGATAAGTATATTCTACTAGAAAATAGAATGGCACATTTAAAAAAAAGAATTCTTAATTTTGTCATGGTCTAGATAAATTATTGTCATCATAGTTTCAGCAGTAAAGATATGCTTTACAAAATTAATGCTCAAAAACATATGATGAATAATCAACTGCTTCCTGGCTCCATACCACCATTGAAAATAAATCAACTTTTGTTTCACTTTGAAAAATACATGTGCATTTAAGGTTCACAACTTACTTTATCATGAAGAAAACAATATTATCAGAAAATGATTAATAAAACTGAATAGACTTTTCATTTGCAATTCAGGAATGAAAAATGTTGTAAATAAAAGTTTGATTAAAGTTTCAAAAGTACATTTGTATGAAATACTAATAAAAGAACCATGATAAATGCTGTCTAACACAAGTTTATAATAAAAATGTTAAACTTTATTAAAGATAAGAATGCTGCAATGCTACTTTGACAATGAAGATAAGGACCAATGGTAAAGCTTGAGATCTCTCTTTGCTATTGACCAATCACAGATGCTGTAACATATAATATTGGAGATAATGACCAATCAGAGAGCTTGTTAGGCTGTGTGTGAGGAACCTTTGATCTTTCTGAGCATGATGTAAGGAATGATAAGTAGAACTGCCCCTGATATGTAACAGACTTTGTCCCCACAGCTCCAGTACACTACAATGAATCCAAGCAAAATCATTTCATATGAAATTAAAATATACTGACAATCTACTTAAAAAACAACCAAGTATTCTGAGAGTAATGCATAAGCAATACATGTCCTCACTGGGTTCCCCTTCTATCTTCAGGATAGAAGCTTGTTTGGAATATTAATTTCGTGCATAACAAACCCAGTCATAATCCCAATTATAAAAAATAAAAAATGCCATAATTCCATCAAAATTAATGACATGGAACGAAATTCAAACTTGATCTGTAACTCATCAAGATACACTAACATAGTAAAAATCAGCTCAATATCTGCAAGCATGTAGTAAAAAAGTGCCAAAAACTAAGTGGGACAGACTGACAGACAGATGGATGGATAGATGGACTGACAGACTCAGAGGAAACCTATTGTCCCCTCCGCTTTCACCACTAGGGGACTACTAACATTGGAAAAGTTGACCCAAACTGTGTTCAGAAAATTTCCATAAAGTAACATACTCATTAGTCTGAAAGCGGAGGGAACTATAGTCTCCTCCAAGTCTGTCCGTCCGTCTGTCTGTCCTATGTCTGTTCTACTGATAAGACATAAAAACTGTGAAAAGTTTACAGGAAGATGGATGAACAGAAGGTTGGGTAGCTGACAAAGGGCACTCAGAAAAAGTTTTCAGCTCAGGCTCCGGGGCCATAAAATTTAAACAAGCTCACTTTTGATCTGTCTCATTTTTACAGAAGGAAATTATAGAGGAAAAGAAAGACTGAGATCAAAAGTGAGCTCGTCTTAGCTCAACTGGCCCCAAATCGAGGTGAGCTAAAAATTAAAGTCAAAGTTAAATTAAATATTTTAACATTTGCAAAGTAACGTAACATATTGTGATCATACCTATACTGGATAAGACGGGACCGAAAGCTCTGGCTAGAGCCCCTAGAGATCTGAACACTCCCATCACCACCCCCTTCTGATCCGTGCCTCCAAATCCTGAGATCAGTGTTGTCAGACATGGAACTACTGTTGCTGAAGCTATATAAAAATGTAGTAATTTCAAATAATGTTTTAAATTTCTTATCCAAATCCAGGAAAATTTGATATAGATGGGAAAAATCTGCTAAATTTTCTCTATAGCTCCTTTATATTTTAAAGCCAGTATGTTCCTTTATTTATGTGTGCAAGTACATACATGCATGTATATAGATGATTCACTGATATATTCAATGAATATTAAGCAGAAAAAAATTGAAAATTTAGAAGTTACGCACCAAAGGCAAACAATGTCAGGCCTATGTACATCATGCTAGCACTGTAGGCAAAGGCCATACACACAAAGGCTGGGATAAGCATAGTCATTCCCTGAAATTGCAAATATCAGTGTTAATCACATTGTAATTTTAAGAAAATTCAAATGCTTCAAAAATATATTTTTAGCATTATATCTAGCCATGCAACCAGTGTTTTCTTGACCCAAAATCACAGCAGAATAGAGGCAGTTTCCCATGGAAATGTCATCGTGGTATTTTCTCTCAACAATGAACTACTGTAAAATAGCTTATTTTTAGGGGGGTCGTTAATGTTTCACTCAGAACATGAATTTGGGGGTGTTTGCAGACCATGATGAAGTCTCTCATAAAATAAGTGATTTTCCCAGTCTTTTTGTAATGATTTCAATGTCAAGTTCTCCTAAAAATGAATGATTTTTTCCAAAAATGAATATGAATGACTATTTTGTAAATATGGGCCAAATTCTTACCAGGGTGGCTATCTTTACTTCTTTCCCTGCAGGTATCCTTCTAACATAACCACCTGTATTTGTAATGGAAAAAATAATTTCAAAAAAACTTTATTGCTTGCATTTTTTAAAACTTACTTCTTGCTTTAAGGATTGAATGGTAAGTAAATATTGAAGACAATAGAAATCATAAAATTTTGAAATAGATTCAGCAACTTGACCTAAAATAATTAGAATAAAATCATTTGCGTTTTCAAAATCATGAAAATGACTCATGAATATTTATATCATTTTTTTTGGTTAAGCCAATCTTACCAACTTACCCTGCACTAAAGCCATGATGGTCCCAAGAAAGAAAAACATCTTCCCTTGCTGCATACTAATGAAGATAAAAAAAGAAAGCATGATGAGAAAAATATTACAAATAGAGATGATGATGATTCCGTATATAAAATAAGGAGGAAGAAATAAAAATCTGATGAAGACTTGATGTTCAGGTGACCTACCTGTCATAGTTGAGCCTGTTATGAGTGAGGAAGGTGAGTGTGAACTCGAGTCCTGAGTACATTAGAAGATACAGAAAATACACAGCACCTATCTTCTGCATCGCAGACACATCTGTCAAAAGAGAAACACACAAAAATCTTACCTGACAAATCTCATTTTCTGTAGATTTTTTGAAGAAACACTTTTACCTATGGCACATATTGATATATTTCAAAGACATGGTGGTAGGAGCGGTGAGCATATTTCCCACTTTTCTGTCAATTATTTATAATTTATCATCTTGTTGACTGTCTTACCCTGAGCATTAGTATTTTTCACAGGAGAGAATTTAAACAGAGACACTGGGTTGATGAGATGTGATGTGTTCTGCCATCCAGATGAAATGGACTTGGCCTATGTAAAAAAAAAGTGTAATGTAACTCATAAGTCTGTAGAATACAAAGATAAAGGAATCTCTTTTCAAGCCAATAGTTTCCAATTCAATTTCAAGTTAGTAGAATATAGAAATCTGATTGGAAAGCTTTGGCAATGGCTTTCAAAGATGGTAAAGGAATAGAAACTTAGAGAATTTGAGTTTGTATCCTTTACAAAAATTTCTTTCTATGTTACAATGTATCTTTTAATATTTTCTCCAAAGTAAATTCATTAATAGATCTGTATGAAATTTTTAAAACTGCAGACATCTGTTCTAAAAACACTTTCCTGAGTCCTTTCATAAAACAATTCTGAGGATAATTATTCCTGTGTAACTACTACAAAAAGTTAAAAGAAATACCTGTAAAGGATGCAATGAGTAAAGAATTTTGCTGAGGATTTGTATTTAAGTTCAGCCTTTATATTACCTAACATAGGCGTCAGAAGTGAATTGAAAGTGGGGGGCTAATTGAAAGTGGGGGGCTAAACCTACAAAAAAAAATAAACCCCAATTTTCATTGCCTATATTATGTATATATTTGCAAAAAAGTGGTGGGGAGGGGCGCTAAGCCCCAAAGCCCCCCCGGTTCTGACGCCTATGCCTAATGATAACTTACCCTTCTATGTTGAGGCAGTGTTTCTTTGAAAAACATTAAAACAAAAATGACATCTATGATGGCTAAAGCAAGTGCAAAAAGGGCAGGGGCTGTGTAGAAGACTTCCTGTTGCTCACGGGCAAATTTGGAGAAAACAGCTCCAATGATTGGTCCAAACACAAATCCAACTGAGAAGGCCACACCCACAAAGGCCTGAAACATGATAAAATCATCTTTTTTTCACTTCTGCTTTTTTGAAATCTTAAATAATCTCTTCACTCTAATCAATAAAATAAAAACATTTTAAAGAATTACTTTGCATTTACATTCTACCCTTTTTAAACAGTGAAGGTACATTTGAATGCACTTCTTACCATGCCTTTCCCTCTTTTCTCTGGGGGGAATATGTCAGCTATGACTGCTGTAGATATGCTGACGTTCCCCTTACTAAGCCCCCCAATGATGCGGGCGATGACGAAGAGAGTGAAGTTGTGTGAGACAGCCCATAGGGCATAGGACGCTGCCACGCCCACCTGTAAAATAAAAATTCAGGAACATGCATATACCACTTTTATCAAAGGGTCTTCCAAAAATAAAGAATATTTATTTTTGGAAAGTTGATGGAGGTGGTTTTCGGGTTCTGAATTCAATTTTTCCATGATAATAAGAAAAATATGTTACCATGGATACAATAAGAACTGGTTTTCTGCCATAGACATCTGAGGCTGCACCCATGATGGGTGAGGCTAAAAACTGCAACATTGAGAAAAGGGACCCAATAACACCTACAAATAAACAATGGTCAAATACGATAAATAAATTCAATTCTGTCATGATTCCACACATCATAGTACAGTGAATCCTGTCTAATCCACATGCATTGTGAGACAAACACGGAAAATAGTAAAATGGGAATTTTAATAATTAAGGTCCAAATTCACAGTGAAATGGACTGTACAGGTGTCGGATTAGAAAGTTTTCACTGTATCATTAAATATAATTATACGATCTTAGCTTGATTGCAATATAACAACCCCCCCCCCCCAAATATCTTGCTAATATATGAAATGTTTAGATGTTGCCCTATAAACTGATCATTGATTTTGTTGATAGCTGAGTTTTTTAAGCGCATCCTGTCATAAAGATAGAGATCAGAAATATATATAGCTTTTTTAAACACATATTTTCAGCTAAAAGTCCACTGGTACATGTATATTAAAACATTTCATGCAAAGCATTGTTAACCTATCTTTAAGTTTTGTTAACTGAACATGTAGATATATGAGTACTTGCATCTTAAACAGATTGAACCATGCAGCTAAGATGCACAAAGAAATTAGTTTACTTTTTCATTGATCTCTTTTTATAATAAAAAAATACAGTGAACTTGCTGGCATAAAATTAGCTCATGCACATGTACTTACATGTATGTAGTTGGCATACCATATAGCCAGTTTTCTCGGCGGGTGTAAAATTTGGCGTTTTACCTGCTCAAAGGTATGCCAATAAGTTTGGCGTAATTTATTTTAGCAGACACAGTGATTCAGCTCCTTGCAGATGAATACTAAGAAGAGTACTGACTATATTAGCGAATAAAATCGGGCTACCATCAAAATGCCAAAATAAGCCAAATTTAGCACCCCGCTAAAACAACCCGCTTTACAGTATGTATCTGCATACATGTTCTGTACTGTATCTTGTTTTATACATAACAACATATTGAAGATAAAGCACCATTAAAACATCAAAATGTACAACTGACCTCCAAACAGTACAGAGTTCCACCTGGGAGTGTCTGGGGCCCCTACCATCTCCCTAAACCCTGTCACTGAATCCTTGATCAGTTTATATAATGTGTCCTATAAAATAAAAAAGATATGATATTAAACTCTGCTGTTAAAATGAATCACAGGGCATAGTGTATTCAGTTATAACAAAGTACTATATTTTTTTTTAATTACATAGGCCAGTGATTTGAAAGTTGGTCTTTTAATTACTTTTTATTATTAAAAGTATTTTATTCTTAATAAATTTCTTAAAATTGATGTTTTTATCTAGGCTTAAATTAAAACCTTAAATGGGCCATTTTAAAGGAGTGTGTCCCCACCCCTTTTTTGTTACTTAATTTGGTCTTTCTCTTTATTTCATTGGAGGAGTGGGTGTTTTTGTAATCACTGCAACAATCTTGGATTGAAACCTAAAATCTCTTCCCTAGAACAATCACTCATGACACATCTGATGACAAAAATTTACATATCTCCATGACGACAGCTGTACACTACCTTTTCATTGGTCCCATAGTAGTCCAGTATGGAAGGGAGGAGGGGGAGAATCAGGGTGAACCCCAGCAGGTCAATCACCAGGGACAGGAAGACCACGTACAGGGTCCGGTTAGCTCCCTTATCTGCGTCAGAAGACCCACTCTTACCATTCTGTGTCTTTTCTGTTGCCATGGTTACTGCTTTTTCTATAAAAATTGAACATGATTTTTAATTAAAAGTGAAAAATAATTCTTAAAAGCACAACAAGAGGAAAAACTTAATTTTTTTTTTAAAGAAACATCAATTTTCATTAGGAACAGGAAGAAAAATTAAGATTCCTCAGGAATCTGAGAGTAAAATTTCAAGATCAATTAAGTGAGGTAAAAAAAAATCTATTTGAAACATAATTTATAAATACATGTACATACATTACAATGCTATTATAAATAAATGTAAATCAGCAACTTAAAATAACTACAGCTTTGGATGCTTGATAAATTAAAAATTACAGCCATAAGTTAAATGCAATCTCTCTATCATTCTTATATTCTCTGACTCTATCTCTCTCTAAAAATATGTACAAAGGATTACACTAACGTGTACAAGTATAACCTCATATAATCCAACACCTTATCACAACAAACTCTGACTTGCTTTTCCTGATGATGTAAACCCTTAAGTGGACAAGGTATGCGTCACTTATTTATAGTAGAAGACTTTCTAACAACTCAATTTGTTTTACATTTCCTTAAACAAGCAAACAGATGGAAATCGGAGATTGAAACTTTAAAAGCAAATCTGAATCAGTTAATGGTTGCGCAGACATGTATTTTATGAATGCCCTAGGGCCGATTTGTAATGCATGAGTTCATCATAAAGAAATGCCTTAAATCTCATAAATATTGACAAATATCTAAAGATCAATATTTCTACATGTATATTCGGATTATGATTGATCGGAGTGAAATTGATTTTTTGATATTTAAACACTGACATAATTTTGTTTAATAATATATTGATCCTTAAGGTCATACTTAATAGCAGTAGTAAGTCAAAATTAAAAAAAAAAAGTTATGATGATCGAATAAAAAGAAAATCAGATAGTCAAGACATGCTAAATTCAATATCAATATATTCATAAGAAAAATAAATGTTTAAGAAATATTCTACATAAAAAAGTTATTGAACATAAATATATGGGCACAAGTAGACTAGACTGATATTAAAGCTCTTTCTAGAAAATATGGTAAAAGTTATGTGTCCCCTCTACTAGTCTATCATGATCATGTCTATCAGTTGTCTATCATTTGCACCCAGACCTTGACTAACGTACCGTAATTTGTTGTCTCTAAGAGGCGTACCGTAATTTGTTGTCTCTAAGAGGAGCATGATAATTTTTATAATAATGCAAGGAGACATAATTAAAAGCTATTGACTGAGCATTGAAAATCATACAATCTTCTGATCATTACACATGTATGGGGTTAATAGGGGCATATTAATTTAGGGTAGAGAATGAGAGGATGCAGATGCTAATTCCATCCTTCATCCTCAAAACTTTGCTCCTCTTCTTTCTCATCCCCTCACAGCTTCTACCATGCTCCCTCACAATGATATTGTTGTTCCCTTTCAATTTCTCCCTTTCATGCTCCTTTAGTTTACTAAAGGGGTTGGAAAAGTGAGGGTGCAATTTAACTTATTGTATTAGTATTACCCTTAAACAATCATTTATTTTTATAAGCAGTATTTAACATTCAATGTTAAATACTGCTTATAAAAATAAATTTCTCTAGTAATTTGATTTTAAAAAGAACTTCATGGGCAAATGGCTTCTTAATAAATTGAACAAACTGTAAAATTTTAATGTATATCTAATCTATCATGTTTTATAGGTACCACATAGTATAAGGTTTGCATGTCGACTGTGAGTATCCGATATTCATTTCGCAATATTTACAGGAGTATTGTCTGCTAAATGTTGTGTGATGCGTCTAGTGTGTTGGTGTTGGTGTCTGTGTGCTTGTCACCTCTCGCTTTCAGCCCTCACCGCTGGCTAGCAGCAATGCGAAAAGGGAAGCAATTTGTAAGTCTTCCCTCGCCAGTACATAGCCTCTCCACAACAAGTCCTATGCGATGCCTCCACGTGGAAGCAGACGGATACTGGGCACCTTTCGGCCCCAGGCTAACTTCGCAAGGGCGCACGGGAAGATGAGGCTCGAGAGCCTTGGTCGGCAACTCATCTAGGAGAGACAACTCTGATTACAATCCGGATTTAGTAGGAGACCGTTAGCAACTACTATGTTGGCCCCCCAGACATAAAATTGGAGGTTGGACTTGAGGCTAATCACCTCCTTCCATAAAAAACAATTGATTACGGAAACCGTTACAACAATTAGTACCACTGAAGGAAGGGCAAGCGCGACATGCGAGATTCCAGATGAGGATTACCTTCATTGGGAATTCGAGAGAATGACGGCAATTAGGAAAAGCCGAGAGGACCCTAACGGCCTGAAAGGAACGCAGATGCCATCCATAACAACACCTAAGAACATCACTAAGATCGGATGTTGGAACGTAAGAACAATGTTCCAGATTGGAAAAACAGCGAACATCGTAAGAGAGTTTAATAGATATAAGTTGGACATAATGGGATTGAGTGAGGTGAGATGGACAGGCTTTGGTGAGCTTAAGACAATCTCTGGAGAGACCATCTTGTACTCGGGAGCTGAAGAGCATCATAGAGGAGTTGGACTTATACTTAGCAGGAAAAGCCGACAAAGCTTGATGGAATGGAATCCTGTTAATGACAGAATCATCAGTGCACGCTTTTTCTCCCGCTTTGCTAAGTTAACAATAATACAATTATACAGCCCAACAAACGAAGCAGACGAAGCGGATAAAGACACCTTCTATGAACAGCTTCAAAGAGAGATTGCAAAAGTACCAAAACATGACATACTGATGGTAATGGGTGATGCAAATGCAAAAGTGGGAAAGTCAAATGAAGGATGGGAAAGAGTCATGGGACAAGAGGGCATCGGGATTATGAATGAAAACGGCATGAGGTTAGCAGAAATGTGTGCCCTTAACAACTTAATCATCTGTGGAACCCTCTTTAAGCACCTGGACATACACAAGCTTACATGGGAGTCACCGAATGGAAGAGATAAAAACCAAATTGACCATGTAATGGTGAACGGCAGATACAAGAAGTCTGTATGTGATGTAAGAGTTATGCGTGGTGCAGATGCCAATTCAGACCACCATCTAGTATTGGCTAAAGTAAAGATGAAGCTCTGCAGAAACTTAAAGCCGAAGGAAAGCAACAGGAAGATGTATGATGTCAACAAGCTGAAAGATCCAAAAGTAAGCAAAGGATTCCAACTTGAACTAAAGAATAGGTTTGAGCAACTGGTCGATGACGAAAGCACAATTAATGAAAAATGGACTCTTGTAAAAGAAGCATACAATGAAACAGCAGAAAAGATCTTGGGCCAGAGGAAAAGGAAGCACAAAGACTGGCTAACTGCAGAAACTTACAGAGCCATAGATGAAAGGAGAAAAGTAAAGGAAGAAATAGGAAGATCAAATTCAGAAAGAATAAAGGAAATTAAGAGGGAAGAATATAAGACCAAAGACAAAGAAGTGAAAAGAAGAGCAAGAGCCGATAAGAGGAAAAATCTGGAAGATGTAGCTAATCAAGCAGAGAATGCAGCAAACACAAACCGTCTGAGTGAAGTTTACCAACTGACCAAGCAGCTTTGTGGGAGAAAAAGAAACAGGACAAGCGGCATAAGGTCCAAGAATGGTGAACTTATCATTGAGGATGGGAAAATATTGGATAGATGGAAAGAGCATTTTGAAGAGGTCCTTAATGTCCCAACAGAAACGACAGATCTACCTGAAGGATGCGCCATCCAAGAGAATGAAATTGAGGAAATAGACACAACACCATTTAGAGAGGAAGAGGTTAAAAAGGCAATCCAAAAAATGAAGAGAGGAAAGAGTCCTGGCATAGATAACATCAATGCGGAACTACTAAAGGAAAGCATAGCACTTTCAACATCAGAGCTAACACATTTATTCAACAGAGTCATCAGTGAGCAAGAAATACCATCAGACTGGAAGAGATGCATCAATATTTCAAAATACCAAAGAAAGGAGATCTAACAATATGTGACAACTATAGAGGAATATCACTACTGTCAGTGCCATCTAAAGTATTTTGTAGGGTAGTGATTGACAGAATTAGGGATGGATTAGAAGACAGACTAAGACCAGAACAAGCTGCATATAGAAGAGGAAGAGGAACATCGGAACAGATTTACATCCTAAGAAACATTTTAGAACAATCTATAGAGTGGCAAGCACCATTATACATCAGTTTCATAGACTTTAAAAAAGCCTTTGACAGTATAATCAGAGAGAAACTGTGGGATATACTAAGGCAGTATGGAATCCCAGGCGTGTACGTGGATATCATCAAGAAGCTATACGATGGTAGTTCTAGTTGTGTCATAGAGAATGGAAGAACAACCGACTGGTTCAGAGTACAGACAGGAGTGAGACAAGGATGTGTTATGTCTGGGTTCCTGTTCATCATTGTGATAGACTGGATCATGAGAAATACCAACAATAAGAAGAGACATACGTTGGAAGTTTATGTCCACTTTAGAAGACCTGGATTATGCAGACGACCTTGCACTTATGTCCAGCAAACACAGTGACCTGCAAGAGAAGACCAGTAGATTGCAGGCTGTTGCGGGATATACAGGCCTACAAATTAACGTGGATAAAACAAAAAGCATGAGAATAAATGTGAAAAAGAAGGATGCCATCAGGTTGAATGATAAAGAAATAGAAGACGTTGAAGCATTTCTCTACCTAGGTGCCACAATGGACAAGAACGGAGGAACTGAGGCAGATATTGGGAGAAGGCTTGGCTTAGCCAGGACAGCCTTTGCATCCCTTGCCAAGATATGGAAGTCAGCACAATACAGTACAAAGACCAAACTTAAGATCTTCAACACGAACGTTCTATCTGTGTTGCTGTATTGTGCCGAGCTATGGAGAACAACAGAAAAAGATGATGAAAAGCTTGATACATTCCACCGAAAATGCCTTAGGAGGATCCTTAAAATACACTGGCCTGAAAAAATAACAAACCAACAACTATATGAAAGAACAAGAGCCATACCTCTATCATGCACCATCAAAAGGAAAAGATGGAGATGGATAGGCCACATCCTCCGAAGGGAAGAGAACTCTCACATTAGAACAGCTCTCACCTGGGCCCCTGAGGGAAAGAGAAGAAGAGGACGGCCAAAGAACACCTGGAGACGCTCTGTTGAGAGAGAAAGGGAAGAACTGGGTTGGAACAGCTGGAAGGAGGGACAAGTTGTTGCCAGTGACCGCCGTAAGTGGCGTTCGTTGTTGAACGGCCTCATGCGTCCTCCGGGGCACGGAGAGGATAAGTAAGTAAGTAAGTACAGGAGTATTAAATGATATAATCTTTGACTGTACATGCCGAACAAAAAAAATGCATACATATGCGCTTATCTAAATGAATATTGTAATTCAGGAGACTCTCCCTCTAATAAAGAGGTGATCAAACGCGTTAAACGGCTGGTAAAAAAAAAAGTCACTTAAAAAAAATATATGCAGACCAATCACCATTCCAAATGAGCAATTCAACACTGCATGAGCAGTACATGATAGATACATGCACATATTACATGTACTTACACGTAGACCTACAAGTAGTGAATAGCAGTCCACTATCTGAGCACCGTTAAGACGAAGATAAAATGGGAAATCTTTATCTTGTCTCTTGAGACAACTTCACAATTTTGTAATGTTCAAAGTTCACAAACTTTTCATGCATATCAGTTCAGTGAGGTTTATACTTACTTCTGGAATATTGATTAATCCTCCACTAGTATCTAAAACATTATTCTAAAGTTGTGAAGAAAACGCTCTGTTGAAACACATAGATATCTTCAATCAAAATGTAGAACATATGTTTGACAACTTTTAACTTCCGCGTGTCATACGAACAATCAACCAAACGTTTTAAAGGGAGAACGATTAGTCAAGTGTATCAAGCGCTTCATGCACTCAGACGGGCACGCTACTTTCATTTTCACATTTCTGGCTGTTGCAAGTGATGTGGATCGCAGTGTAACTTTCCAGGTGAGTTGACATTTGCAAACTATTTAACTGGAACGTTTAATTAATTTTTTTACTCTATTTGTTGTTGACACCTTTGGATAACAGCTCGTTTAACTTAAAAAATGTCATCGCCCCGTTTAGAAGTCAACAGGTAAACATTTAAAGAGACCTTCCTAATTCCTGTCCTTTGATGACCTCGATATCGATTGTAAGTCATTTGCGAGAACATGAGTGAAGAATTTTACAGGTGCGAAAATTGGGACATAATATACATATAAATGGGATTACAAAGTGTTGGTCTTTGCACATGGGAGAAAAAAATCATTTAATAACGACATTAATTATCATTGATTATTGATCACAGGTAAGAATTAAAAAAAAAAGTTAAATCAATAAATGGCAAAGCTACATGTACCTCTGTAAAATGATGGAAAAAAGAGATTTTTTTAGCTGTGAAATTTACAACATGGTCAATATTATGTCACTCATTCCATTATTTAGCATCAGATAAAAATGACACCCCCTACCCCACCCCAACACCGAAGGATTGAAATGTCTGTGCTTTACGTAATAGATAAAAAAGTTTCAGAATTGTGACTCATGAAAATATATTTTTTGATCAATGTAAATAATGATTAATTAATCTTTTGAATTTAGGAAGATATATTGAAAACACAGAAATCCAAATATGGAAGGTGGCCAAGTCCATGACTCAGTGAAGGACTACTACGGAAAGCAACTTAAGACGGTAGATGATCTGAAGACCCAGGCCTGTGTTACGGTCGGGAAATCGGTGACCAAACCAGTCAGAGAAGCAGTGGCTGCTGTACATGATGAAGTGGTGTCTAAGTAATTTGATAAAATCTTTTAATTGGTTTCTCAATCTGTTATTGTTAGTAATTAATGAAATGTTCCTATAATCCTATTTGAAATTTAAAGTTTTAACAAAGGTTGTAAACAAATACTTGTTCTTTATATTGTCTTTGTTCTGTGGGTAAGATAATCTGATAATTGATTTTGATGATGATAAAATACAGTTGTAACAGGAAGGGAGCAAATGTATGGCTGAACCAGGAATTAAACCTTGGTACGGCCCATTGCTTTTTTTCTCCTCTCCTTTTACATTTGTGCTGTGTTGTGCCTTAGAAGTGACAACTTAATATAAAAGAAAGAACTGCCAGGAGAAAGACAAGAAGAATTATGCATTAATACAGCAAAACTCGAGTATAACGAAGTCGCTGGGACCTAAAAAATTACTTCGCTATATCCCTAATTTGTTATAACCATATAAGAGAGTCATTAAATTTATATAGCTGGGGATCCAAGAGGACTTCTCTATATCTGTGAATTTGCAATATCTGTGTTCTTACTAAACGAGTTTTACTGTATTACATGTTCACATCTGTTCACTAGGTACTATGGATGTGGACTTGTGATACCAGAGAAACTGGAGGGAATGAAGATTTTAGATCTGGGGAGTGGAAGTGGGCGGGACTGTTTTGCTCTCAGTAAGCTGGTTGGTCCAAATGGTCATGTGACTGGCATTGACATGACAGATGAGCAGGTAAAAGAAATGCATTTTGGGATTTTTTCAGATGAAGTCAAACATACTTAAAAGTTAGAATTCATGGAGTATTTCACATACAATCATTTGACGTGTTAAAAATCTTTCAGCAGTCTATAAGCAAGTGTTCTGTGTATTTAATATCATTATAATTGTTAGATAAAAAAAAGATGAAAGTGTGTTGAAAGCATGCATGCAGGTTTGGTTATTTATTTTTAACAACATGTAATTGTAGATAGCTGTTGCTCGCAAATACATAGACTACCACAGAGAGAAGTTTGGATATAAAGAGGCCAACACAGACTTTGTTCAGGGCTACATTGAGAAGCTGAGAGAAGCCGGGCTGAAGGAAAACTACTATGACATCATCATGTAAAATATATTGAATCTTAATGAAACCTCTATGAGTTCTTTAAAGTAAAATATATAAAATTAATTGAAAACAGTAGCTCTCATAGTTTAGAAGTCATCTAAAATTCTTTAAAACACTTAAGTAAAATTTGGTCAGAAACTGCCATACACTCTTCACTAAAAAAATCTCCAGTACAGTAATATTTTAGAAGTTTATTGATTTTTTTCCCTACAGATCAAACTGTGTGATTAATCTCTCACCAGACAAAAGATCAGTACTTAAGGAGGCTTACAGTGTCTTAAAGGTAATATGAATTTTTTGGCTCTTAATTCATATATTTTGCATCTATTTATTTATACCATATTAACTGTAGTCTTAAAATGAATTAATATTTGTTTTTACATGTACTCCTTTTTCTGAATAACAACTTTTAACCTGTATTTTTATCTCAAAAGTTAAATTATATATGTCCATTGCATAAGAAATTTCCATGTATAATTTCTGTAAACTTTGTTTTTTCATTTGACCCTTCATCATTTTTCCAGGAGGGAGGGGAGTTTTATTTCAGTGATATTTATGCTGACAGAGAGCTGGAAGATTCAGTCAGAAAAGATGAAGTCCTCTGGGGTAAGATCTGTGATTATATTCTAATTAAGGTTCACTGACCCTCTGATAAAGAGAGATCACTCTGAATTGGACAAAATACTACAATTTTTTTATTACAATTTTTTTTTCAAGTTAAAATTTTTGTTAAATATTGATGTGCAAAGTTTGTTAACATTGTGAAGATTTTAGGAAGAAATTAGATATTTTTGTTAAATCCTTAATAATATGAACAGATGAATCTCTAAAATTGGGAACAGCTGAATGATAAACATTTTAAAAAAAATTACAAAGTTTTTTCCCCAGTCACCAAGCTCATACTACTTTAAGTCCACAGCAATTTACAGTTTTATGAGTTTTGCATTTGTATTCATGTTATTTTACACATTAATTTGCACCTATATTTTTGTGGTCAGGTTTATTCAAACAACAGGGTGAGTTTATTTTGTTTTTCAGGTGAGTGTATTTCTGGAGCCCTGTACTGGAAGGAACTGTTCACCCTGGCATCAGAAGTCGGCTTCAGTAGACCGTTTCTTGTGACAGCAGCTCCTGTCCCCATAGACAGAGAAGACTTCAAAAAGATCTTAGGTATCAAGATGCCTTTGAAATGTACTGTGAAATCACAAATTTTCCTGGGGGTTTAATTTTCGTTGTTTTTGAGGTGTATAGAGACCCACAAATTCATGTCCACCACAAAATGTAGAATGTGACATACACAACTACTCAACATTTCGACATCCACAAAATCAAATCCCCACAAAACCAAGAGTTTTTCCTCAAACCACAAAAATTTGACCCCACAAAAATATGTGATTTTACAGTAAAGGTTCATCATACACACCTGCAATTGTCAGTAAACTCATAAAGATGTTAAACTGACCTTGATCGATTTTTACCAGGCGATGCTCGTTTTGTGTCTGTGACATACAGACTTTTTAAACTCCCTCCCAATGCAATGGTAGAACCAACTGAAGTCATTTACAATGGGGAAATCCCAGGTTATGAGGCCGAATTCAAGTTTGATCATCAACACATATTTAAGGTACTTTTGTTTAATTAAATAAGAAAAGGTTGAGCAAGAAATTGGTTTAAAATATTTTGCCAAATACAGTGTACTGTAAATCCCTTATTTTACGTGAGTACAAAATATAGCGAAATGACCTTTAGACAGCAAATTGCAAGGAAGATAATTTGCAAGTGGGTGTTTTTTCAGGAAATTTTACATGTATTTAAGCACCATAAAAATAAAAGCAAGTAATTTTGAGAGTGGTGCCTCTTGCGAAATTATGCAATAATTAATTCCTCACATTTCAATGAAAAAATCTTGCTTGCCAAATTATAAAAATGATATTGAAGCATCAATATTTTATTAGGCATGAATATAAATAGATAAAGATATTCACAAAAAAATTGTTTTAATTTTTATGATTTGCATATTTTTGAATGTTAATCATAAACTTTTATTTTGCTAGAAAGATGAAGTTGTCATGGTAACTGGTGCCGTTGCTGCGTCCCTTAAATGCTCCCGTTTCTCAGACGAGTTTGAATATCAACCAGTCCCGAAAAAATCCTGTGGCACAGATAGCAATGGCAGTGTCTGTAACAAAGTATGAAAATTCACATTTTTAGTTTTAAATTTGTTTAAAATATTGCTTGATAAAATGAAATCCCTATCAATTTATGACATATATAATGGTTGAGTAGATTTATTTTAAAAATAATAAGATCATGAGTTTGCAAATAAGAGTGAAAAAGGAGTATTCCTATTCTATTCAAAAACTTCATGCAATTGTATAAGATTTTCTATCTCCTAAATGTAACAGTTTTATCTAGGATTGCAAGAATTTAACAATTTCTAACAAGAAAATAAAAAAAAATCCTTTGAGTCAATTTTGGCAATCAGTGTTCTTGCTTCTCAATAAATCATCTGTTCCTCTTTTTTTGACCAGCTGGATTTTGAGGATCCATTTGAATATCTGGAAAACTTGGCAAAAAAAGGTCAAAAAGTCGAGGCCTCGTGTTGTGCTGGATCTACCAAGTGTTGCTGAGATGTTTTAAAAAACTTTCAATAGACATGTAGAATGGTTTATGTATAGCTATACTCTGTATATAATTAAGAAATAAAGTCCGCGTTTTCGTGAATGTTGCAGAATAACCTCCGAGGTCGAGAAATGTTGTTTGAAATATAAAAGCCGAGGCGTTAGCCGAGGCTTTTATATTTCAAACAACATTTCGAGACCGAGGAGGTTATTCTGCATCATTCACAACAACAAGGACTTTATTTCTATTCTACCACGGACGATAAATACGGCCGATTGTTTCCTCTATAGAGAAACGAATTAGGTCACCATGTCTCGATTACGCTGTTCTATTTAACACCAAAGAGAAATTTTGTTGACTTACCTATATATGGAATGCAGATATTTGAGCTTTCCTTGCATTAAAAACAGTCTTGTTTAATTACAAATTTGTTCGTAATATGTATTGATCAGTTAAAATGAATATACAAAAACAAAATCATGTTCTTGTTTTACTGCTAAAATCACGTTGTTTAATGTGTAGGGAGGTCCATGGAATAGCCCCGCTTAGCTATAAAAACCGACATTCATCAGCAACTTGATGCAATTTACAGTGTTTATACTGCAAAAGACGACACATCGATGCGGTCTAATCAAGTATTTCATTCTACAGCCAAACATGCATTTGAATTGTTCAGATTTGATACGTGTTTTTGATCTGATAATTTTTTGATGACGTTCTTGGTCTATTGGAGAATAATGTCCGGCGGCTCCTTTGAAGTTTTTCAATAACCGTGGTAGAATTTCAAATATAATGGGGTACTGTATCAATATTATCTTGGAACAGTATGTTCAATTATCAAAATGTCATTTACATTCCCTCCCCTTTCTCTCAAACTTTCTCTCAAAAGGAAGGGCTTAATTGTTTTCAAAGGTTGTGTTACTATTTAAAATCAATAGGCATATGATTTATTAATTAACTAAATTATAATTTAATGTATGGAATGAAGTCTGTCAATGCTCATTGTACAAAATTCTTGAAAAAGTTCAACAGGTGAAATTTGAAATTATTATTTTTTTGGCAATTATTGATATAGATAATTCAAATCTTTCTTCCTTTAAAATGATTTGTTTTCAACATTTTTAATGATGGACAACTTTTTCAAGGGTATGATTGATAAAAAAAAGAAGACATTATTCATGTACAATAATTCACCATTAATAAATTTTCGTGACAGAAGTTTGTCTGGGAGTGGTAACTTCAACTTTTAGTACTCTACCTGTGTAAAGGAATAAATTCTTATTTTAAAAAAAAATCCACAGGGAAAGATTTTGTTTTTAAAAATCCACATATATCGGAATTATTTACAACTTACAATTATTTTGTACTTTGTAGAATAAATTCATACACGTCAGATGAATGTGTAAAATATACATAATCCTACATGTTGTATTAATATGTTTTTGATTGTTGAGAGACAAAATAGTGCAATTATTTCAGTGAAGGTGCTTCATTAATAAAAAAGAAAAAAAAACAAGATTAAATTAAATATGTACATGATTGGATTAATGAAATGAATTTCTAGCTGTAATTTCTATTACTGTATTGATTATTAAACATACGTATGTATTATTAACAGGTCTTTTCAAATTTAGTGTAATTGCACTTAACCTCGCCTAGTCTTCTTACAATAAAATGAATTGATAGCTCTCCTGCTGAATTATGAACTTTTCTAAAAGCAGAAGGTTGAATACAAACAGAAACCCCTTAATACAGTACCAGTTCATAACATAAAAAAGATATATACAATACTTATGATTAATAGCCACAATCCTTTGAAAACCCAAATTATTGTCAAATATTTTATCAAACTTGCAATTTTTGATTTCAGAATTTATTAATCAGCTTCCAGTAATGGAATGAAAATCATTCAACCTTTAAATTACTGACTTGGCAAAGTTGAAGATGTCCAAACTTTTAGGAACAAAGTTAAGCTTGTATATACTAACCCCCAACCCCCCTTCAATCAATATCTGGAAATTTAACTTATGCTCACAGTTTTCACATTCAACATGTTCAAAGGATGAATTCCTACAAATTACAATCAGGTCCGGATCCACTTAGATGAGTTGCATGGATATACCCCATCCATACTGTACAACAGTACATTCTAAAAGGTGTATAAATCAAATATAGAATTTATTACAAACTCAAAAAAAACTGTGATAAAACTAAGGGTCCCCGCATGGTCCAGTACTGTAGACATAAGATGGGCATTGTAAATTGGGTTTTTACCTTTTTTGTTGGTTTGGCCACCCCACTTTCAATTAGCTTCCGACACCTATGAGTTAGAACGTTCGCAGTTGATTCCATTATACGACTTGGAGAGTGGTCCTTTTGGATGAGATCGTGTCGAAATAGGTACTGGCACAAAGACCCCTCACTTTTTTAAATAGCTCTGGGAGTTGAGTATACATTTTACCCCTACCTAATACGTGTGTATTGTTATGTAGGTGGGTGGGTTATTTTTTTTTAATTAAAAGAAAAAAAAGATTTGTTTGTGAAAAACTATGCGCCCGGCGGTAACAAAGTTAAATTAAACTATTTTAGCAGATAAGTCATGGTCAAGGTCACAAGGTCATTTGAAAGAACTTCATTAATGGAGTATGCATACTAAATATGAAGTCTGTATCTCTCATGGTTCAAAAGTAATGGCGAAAGTTCTAAAAAGCTATTTTTAGCATATAGGTCACAGTCAAGGTCACAAGGTCATTGGTTTCTTTTGAAGAAGTATGCATACCAAATCTGAAGTCATGGTTAAAAGTTATGGCGAAAGTTCGAAAAAAGCTATTTTTAGCATAAAGGTCAGAGTCAAGATCACAAGATCATTGACCTTGGTGTTATTTGAAAGAGTTTTATTGATGAAATATGCATATCAAATATGAAGTCTCCATCTCTTATAGTTAAAAAGTTATGGCGAAGGTTAAAGTTGACAACAGACAGACAAATACATAAACAGACAAACAGACAGGACAAAACAATATACGCATCGGATCTTTCGATCCAGGCGCATAATAAGTAACGTCAGGTGTCTTTCAATACTAGTGAAGCGAGTATGCGATCGGATCTAACATTTAATTTAAATAAGATGGGGTGTCCTGTAGACTTCTTATACACTTTATTGCGGCCAACCATTACTCATGATAAATTAAAAAGCTTTTGGTATTACATGTATTTAACAAATGATTCTTCAATAAAAATGTTCAACAAAATTATTTCTTTAAAAAAATCAATCAATTTAAATTTGGACACAAGTACATTGTACTATTACGAAAGACGAATAGGGCCACATAAAAAAAATATTTTTAACTCGTAATAACTAGATAATTAACTCGTAATAACGAGATAATTAACTCGTAATAACGAGATCTTTTCTCGTTATAACGAGATCTTTTCTCGTAATTACGAGATAAAAATATTTTTTTATGTGGCCTTATTCGTCTTTCGTATACTATAGTCTAGTATTCCGATGTTGAAATTACATTGGTGCTGAAGTTCCTGGAATGACGTCATTTACGTTCACGGTAGCCTAGTGGTAGAGCGTTCACTTCGTGAATGGGAGGGCCGGGTTCAATTCTCATTCGCGGCGCCGCGTCAAATCTAAGAAGTAAAAATAGGTACCGATTCTTCCTTCGGCAAGCGCTAGGCATCAAAAGTAAAAGTCACTGGTCTTTCGGATATGACCTTTAAAACGTAGGTCCCTCACTGCTCAATGGCCCTAAGTGCCGGGTATACATGTAGGTCTAAATTTGAAGCCCTTCACTGGCATACGGAGACGTCTCCATGTGAGTGAAAAACAATATTAATTTTTAGCTCTACTGGTCAGAGACCAGAAAAGCTTATGCAATAGTAATGCGTCCGTCGTCCGTCCGTCTAGCTGTCTGTCTGTAAACAATTTTTCAAAATGCTACTCCTCCAACAGTTTTGGTCCAATTTCAATATAACTTGGCACACAAGTAGACTAAACTAAGATACAGAATTCTGTGCATCGGTTTTTGATTTCGATAAACGATGTTGCTGTGGTTACTAAAAATATAAATTTCTGTGAAATGCTTTCAAAATGCTACTCCTCCTACAGTTTTAGTCCGATTTCAATATAACTTGGCACACAAGTAGACTAAACTAAGATTCATATTTCTGTGCATTTGTTTTTGATTTCGATGATAGGTTTTGCCATGGTTACTAAAAATTGAAATTTCTGTGAAATTCTTTCAAAATGCTACTCCTCCTACAGTTTTAGTCTGATTTCAATATAACTTGGCACACAAGTAGACTAAACTAAGATACATAATTCTGTGCATCGGTTTTTGATTTCTATGAACAATGTTGCAATGGTTACTAAGAATAGAATTTTCTGTGAAATGCTTTCAAAATGCTACTCCTCCTACAGTTTTAGTCTGATTTTAATATAACTCGGCACACAAGTAGACTACAGTAAGATACATAAAATAGTGCATCAAATTTTGATTTCGATGAACGCTGTTGCCATGGTTGCTTAAAATAGAATTTTCTGTGAAATTCCTTTAAAACGCTACTCCTTCCACAGTTTTGGACTGATTTCAATATTACTTGGCACACAAGTAGACTACCCTCAGATACATAAAATTGTGCATCTGATTTTGATTTCTATGAACGGTTTTGCCATGGTTATTAAAAATAGAATTTTCTGTGAAATTCCTTTAAAATGCTACTCCTCCTACAAATTTGGTATGATTTCAATAAACTTGGCACACAAGTAGACTACACTAAGATACATAAAATAGTGCATCGGTTTTTGATTTCGATGAACAGTGTTGTCATTGTTACTAAAAATAGAAATGTCAATGAAATTCCTACGCTACTCCTTCTACAGTTTTGGTCTGATGGCAATGGCTTCTTTTCTCATCCTTTGTTATAAGTACAAACCAGTAGAGCTACAGTCTCGACAGAGACTTCTGGTTTATATAGTCTTCGGTGACCAGGTTTTCCAACATATTATAGGAATTACATTGACACTTTTCTGATCATTTATTAGACTACTTGCTTTTATAAAACGAAGAAAGAACGAGGGAGCTTTTGATTGCATTCGGCAGGAATCCGGACATAATTGAAAAGTGAAAATTTTATCGACATGTTACATAAAATTTTAACATTTATTTTTATTTATCTGGTTCTTGTTCAACAGGAAAGGAAAACATTTTCCCGAAATTGAGCTTTGATTTGCTAAAAAACCCCAACAAAAACTTGAAAATTGGCCAGATCAGACATTTGGTACAACATGGTACATTTTTAAAAACGTTTTACTAAAAAAAAATTATCTCTGGGTCTTCTCTCCATGATTTTTAAAAGTTATATGTGTATTTTTTAATTTGAAAAAAAAACCAAACGAATACACATTTTTAAAAGATGGAGAGAAGACTCAGAGACCACGAAAAATGAACTTCCCCCCCAAAAAAATCCAAATGTGTGAATGTGGTGCTTCTTTGTCCTTTTACATCAGTTGATGTACGGTGATAGCTCAGTATGTTGTGCTATAATTATATGTTCATCGCACTCGAAGTGAAAAGTTTTTTGTTCAAGCCTTGCATGTGGCCTTAATTTTTTTTTCTTGCAAACAACCATTTATATTTTGTCAGTTTGTTTTATGTACTGATGTATTAAAATTTTGAATTAGATAAATTTTGGTTCAGTTTGGTTCGCGAGCGAAATCAATTCCAATTTTCTTTTCTATAATGTACATGTACACGTACATGTATTAAATATTTAGGGTTTTTTTGTGATTATTATTATGTTATAATAGTACCACCTAGGACAAATGGACATAAATTTTACAATCTCACAAAGTCTTCCAAACTAAATGAAAACAAGATGTGTTTGTGAAACACTATGCGCCTGGCGGCAACAAAGTTCGGAAAAGCTATATTTAGCATATAGATTACAGTCAAGGTCACAAGGTCATTGACCTTGGTGTTTTGGCGTCGTTTGAAAGCACTAAATAAGTGAAGTATGCATACCAAATATAAAGTCTCTACCTTCAATGGTTTAAAAGTTACAGCCAAAGTTCGAAAAATCTATTTTTAGCAAATAGGTCACAGATTAGGTCACAAGGTCATTGTTCTTGGTGTAAATTGAAAGTGTTTAATTAGTGGAGTATGCATTACATATATGAAGTCTCTATCTCTCGTGGTTAAAAAGTTATGGCGAAAGTTCGAAAAAACTATTTTTAGCATAAAGGTCACAGTCAAGGTCAAGAGGTAATTGACCTTGGTGTCAGTTGAAAGTGCTTCATTAGTGGAGTATGCATACGAAATATGTAGTCTCTATCTCTCACGCTTCAAAAGTGATGGCGAAGGTTAAAGTTGAAAACAGACAGACAAACAGATAAACAGAAAAACAGACAGACAAACAGACAGACAGGACAAAAAACAATATGCGCTCCGAAAAAATTCGGGTGCGTAAAAAAAACACCTATGGACGTGTCAATCTCTACCCAGAATTATCGTTCGCTTCGCTACTACGATAACTCTGGGTAGAGACATAGGCGCTTGGTTTCAGAATGGTGTATTTTGTGTATTATGTGTTTTTCTAGGTTTGTCTGAATACCTTCATCAAAATAAAAATAAAAATTCGCTGAAAATTAGCACGTTTCAAAATGTCATATTTATTATATATAAAGTCAAATTTACTGCATATAAAAAGAGGCCTTTATACTAATGCGTTAAACAGAACCTTCTCCATGAGAAGAATGAAACACTTGTTGTGGCCTTCAACAAGGAAAAATGTGTCATGTCACATGAAACTATTTGAGCAGTTATTCACTTAATAAAAAATATTTTTGAGGTTAATGCTCTGACACGAAATCGTAGGTTCACAGGGTATGATCCTGAAAGTCATCCAGAAATTGTGTAAGTTGTCAAGGTAAAATAAATTGGATACCCCTCATAGGTAACTTTTGGTATTTAGAAATGATTTTCCTCCTTTCAAAACTTGATAATGATCCACATATTATTCGGAAAATAGTAATCCATAACTTTGTTTCAAATGCGGATAAAATGCATTTAGTATTAATTAAATGCAGAAACCCAGGATTAATTCTTAAATGAAGCGAAAAAGTACCTTTAGAAGTGGAAGGTATTGTTATGTTGAAAACTTGTATTAATTTACTGCCACTTGGTTTATTAAAAATTTGCAATATGACAGCATGTCCACTATAAAGTTTCAAAATATTAGTATTCTGAAATCTCATACAAGTACTATATATAGTGACATTAAAAGAAATGCAGATGCCGAAAAAGGATAGTTTTTTTTTCTAAATGCACGAATAACAAAATCAAAACATATACAAAAGACAAATAAGAAAGATGCGCGCGCAAGAATCTCTTGCTCATTGTTGTGGAGAATTTCCCACTTTTCCGAAGGGGTCAACAATCTACCATTCACTCCCTACATGTAATTCTAGACTCAAACTTTAATCTACATGTATAGATTTTTATTACATCCAAAGCCTTTATACATATGTTATAACTATCTCCACAGACCGATGAACTCACTTGTTTTGATTTTTATTTAGTTGGCAGAAAATTCAAAACAATTGAGTTTATCCGTCTTAAGAATTGACTATTAAGGGTTGGGAGATGGGTAAATTGTACTGGTTGCAATTGAATATTAGATGGGTCTTGAACTAGGGAGTGAAAGGTAGTCCTTTGACCAATGCTGGAAATAGATTAAAGTCACTCACCAGAAAAGCTTGCGCCGTAAATTGACCTTTTTTGGTTACATGTATATATGGGATCTGTGGAGGTATGGCCAAAGTCAAAATCCCTCGAACCAAACTGTATGGCTTCGGCCTATCGACCCAAGGCAGACAGTCCAATTAATTCTTGCATTGGTCTGACAAAACTTATGTTGCCCTTGAACCCAGTCAATTAATTTATAATATGTAGGGAATCACTCTGTATAGTTAGTAGAACATGCCTAACTTTTATAGTTTGAAACTTGGGATAATTTGTATAAAGGGCGAAGACCTTTTATGTAGAAAACATCTCATGTTTTTTAGCTTTCGTTAATATCCAAAGCACATTCTACTAACTAGACAGTGATCCCTTTAAAAATATCAAACATTTTTTTGACCGGGTTCAAGATCGGTTACTGCACTTAATGAAATCGAGTTGATCCTTCACAGGTACTGATTCTGAAAGTCATCCATAAATCTGTTAGTTGTGAAGGTAAAATTAATTGGAGATCTTCAAAAGGTAAGTTTTGGTATTTGCAATGGTTTTTCCTCCTTTCATAACTTGATTATGGTCCACACGTTGTTCGGAAAATGGTCATCCGTGATTTGTTTTAAGCAATATAAGCTGCATTTTCAAATATTTTAAAGACTTCTATATGCAATCCAATATACAGTTTTATATAAGAAAATAATTTTGTACAGGATGACAGTAAAGTAATTTTAAAGCTTATACATAGTTCTTCAAATAATAAAATAATATTAAATATGAGTAGCAGAAGTTTATAAATATTATTTATTTACAAGTTTGCAACAACATATTACGAAATCAAAGTTGCATCTCATATTTCTTTCAAATGCGCTGAAAATGCATTTAGTCTTAGATGCAGAGACCCAGGATTATTTCTAAAATATTTACATTGGCAGTAATTTTTCTCTAGTTAGCCAACAATGAAATTGATTTGAATACCATTTTTGTGAATAAAAACGCGTAGAAGTATAAGTTTCGTGTGAATTTTTGGTGTGTGAATCTTATAATCATCGATAAAAGGAAAAAAAATACATCATCATATTAAGTTAAAATGTTAATTTTGAAAAATAAAACCTATAGATTCATCAAAATACAGCTGTTACATTGTATTTCATTCATGTTAAACTCCAAATATTCCCCAGTAATTTAGGAGAAATCACAACTAAGTAAATCAGTAATACCCGGTTTTATTTCAAATATAAGATAGTAAAGTAATCACTGTTTTTATAGAAACATTTTCTTCAGCGATGAACCAGTGCTTCTCACTGAATGATGAAACCTTTTCCATGAAGTATTTATAAAAACTGTCTTAAAACATTTAAAAGTGAAATACTTCATTCCTTTCAGCTTCCAGTTGTAATTTTATGTGATGAAGTGAAATGGACATTTATTAAAATTAAAAAATTGTATTAAATCCTTTACAGAAATAAGACATGGAATGTTCCAAAGTTTACGAATCCGTGAAGGACCACTATGGTCACCTTCAAGATGACCGGAACAACCAAGTATGTGTGACCTTAAGTTCAGATGTCAGCAAAACAGTGAAGGATGCACTGGCTGATATTCCCGAAGACATAACTGCCAAGTGAATATCTAATTCATGAATCTAATTTAAAATAAAAAAAAATCAAACAACATTAAAATAAATAATATTAATTTTGCGAACCAGTGTTTCAAATCTAGAGTTTCATGTATTTTTTTGTATCTTGGAGATTTACATTAGTTACGTTAAGACATCGCAGATTCCGTTTGAAATTTGTTTATTTCACGAAAGAAATCTAAAGAATTCACTATAGAAACTATTTTTAAACATCTTTCACGTTTAAAGACAAAATTTTGCAATTTGTTATACCAAATCCTTGTTTGCAAAAACAATCTGTCGTTTTTAAAATGCTTCTTTCGTGATCGGAAGGTTTTGGGTTCAAGCCCCATCTGCGACAGACCAAAGTCGATAAAATATAGACAGCAACTTCCTTTGCCAAGCGTTCAGTAGTTTGCGGTGATAGTTTCGAGTCTGTCACGGTATAGATTGGCATGATAAAAATCCATCACTGCTCAATGACCCTTATTGCCAAGTGAAAGTCAAATTTTCTGAAGTCTTTCGCCTTTAGATTATATCATCTCTTTACGAGTTAAACATTTTCAAATGAGACCTAAGCAACAATCAACCAATCAATTAATCTAAAAAACGAGGGACCCAGAAATTAATGTTAATGAACCAAATGAGAAGTGAATATATCAAAAATATTTTATTTATTAAGATTTGATGGATGTGGATTGGTGGTTCCAGAGAAGGTGGAGGGAAGGAAGATCTTGGATTTGGGGAGTGGATGTGGGCGGGACAGTTTTATTCTCAGTAAGCTGATTGGCCCGAATGGTCATGTGACTGGAATTGACATGACAAAGGAAATGGTATGTCAAGCTATTTTTCTTTCTTCAATGAATGTGATATCAACTTTATAATTATCCTTTAAAAACAAGTTATTTTGTCTAAATTTAATTTTATGTCTTAAAATACTCTTTGAGTAAAGCCACAACGATAGTCCCTCTTACATATTTGATAAGAAAGATATATTCATTTCTATGTACAAAGAAATAAGGCGGAAGGGTAGAAAAATGATTTTTAGAAAAACATATCTGTAGTAAAATAATTTTGATATTATAAACGTTGCAGTTGATTGCCATTTTCAATTTTTTTTTAGATAGCCCTTTCAAGTAAATACATAGACTACCACAGAGAGAAGTTTGGATATAAAGAGGCCAACATAGACTTTGTACAAGGCTACATTGAGAAGCTGAGAGAAGCCGGGCTGAAGGAAAACAACTATGACATCATCATGTAAAATATATTAAATCTTCACTTGAAAATTACTATGACATTATCATGTAAAATATATTGAATCTTCATTTGAAAACACCATTTTTTGGAATAATGTTTGAAAAATAATGACATCGAAAAAAATTAATATTTTAGAGTTTCTGTTTGTTGTCAATAACAACAAAATCTTATTTCTTCTGAGAGTATATGTCATACAGAAAACTTTATTTAGTAATTTAATTTTTGCTGTAACACCTCATTTGATTGGATAAAAGATTTAATCCACTTCGTATAACATAAGTTGCCTACATCACAATGAGTTACGTTAAAAGTATTACTCCGCTTGGCGTTACTTTTAAAATATTCCTATATATTGAATTTGCATTTTTGCTGGAAGGAAAAAAAAATTGACTTTCTGTTTCTTGTCAATAAACAACAAAATCTAATTACTTCCGAGAATATATGTCATACAGAAAAATATTTTAAAATAATGTAAAATAATTTAATTTTTTCAACACATGTATTATATGATATGAAATAACTGGAGGAAAAATTGGGATAGAAATTAGATAATAAGGAATTAACCTTATATCAACATACCGTGTACGTATATTATACGAAATAAAATAACCGCTTTGTAAACCCGCAATTCCCTAATTGTCGTCCACGTGGCGCAGTGGTTTGAGCATCTGCTCTAGAGTCGCGAAGTAAGGAGTTGATCCTTACATTAGAATCCCACTGTAGGACCGGTCTTTCAGATCAGACCGTATAAACCGAGGTCCCGTTTCGAAGTAGGTGCTGGCACGAAAAAGATCCCTTCCTGCTCAATGGCCTTGAGTGCCGAGTAAAGGACAAAATTTGCAGCTCTTCACAGGCATGTGGTGTCGTCTCCATATGAAAGAAAATTCTCGAGAGGGACGTTAAACAATATACAATCAATCAATTAATCAATCAATCATTCCTTAATTAATCGAAACAGGAACTGTTAAACGAAAATCCATTTTATCAATTAAACTCCAATAAAGTTTTTTTTTCATTTAAAAAAAAATGTATATGTAAATTGCTGACGTAATAAATCACTTTTTTTCTTTTAGTGTCATTATATTTAATTTTCAGAAAACAATGTGAATTGTATTTTTTCATTTTGTTGTAATGCTCTATAGGTTAAATTGATACAATGTAATTACCAAATATTTTTTGTTCTAGATCAAACGGTGTTATAAACCTCACCCCAGATAAAAAAGCCGTTCTGAAGGAAGCTTACACAGTTTTGAAAGTACTTGCTTCATCCTTTAGTAGTGTCTTTTTATTTCCTTTTTTCAATTATAATGTAACTGGCTAAAACTTACTTGTTCTGTTCCACCTTTAAATTTTTTTCCTAGGGAATAATCTTTTTTAAATGTTGAATATAATCTAAATCTAGCAGTTAAAAAAAAATTACATTTCATAAATTTCATAAATTTGCCATTTTCAGGCTATTTTGATCCCCATATAAAGATATACAAAAAGCCAATTTTCTAAAATATATGAAATTTTTCTGAAGTCGTAGTACTGTTGTTACCATTAGGTTTTGATTCTTTGCTAGGATGGAGGAGAACTCTACTTCAGTGATGTTTATGCAGATAGAGAGCTGGGCTGTTCGGTCAGAAATGACAAGGAGTTATGGAGTAAGCTGCATTGATTTGTAATTTTGCTATGGAAAGACCCCCTTTCAATGAAATAGAAAATGAAATTTTTTTTTTAAAGTTTTCTTTTTCAAAATCCAGTGAAATCAAAATTAAAATTCAAGCTTACTCTAGTTAATCACATGTATCAAGATTAAGAATTATTAAAGCATTCCTTTTATGCAGATGAAAATCGCTAGAGACTCATTGCAGTGACATATTATTTTTGCTTTGAAAAAAAAATTCTATGGATAAAATTTTTTTTCAAAGCTATTATAACTTGATAAATTTATTTGATATGTGATTTCAGCTTAAATGTTTTACACATGAAATCTAAAAAAGTAAAATAAAAAGTATTCAGGAAGGATTTCTATTGTAGCTTGTATTGCAAATGCTTATAGTTTTGAAAAATGAATGGTTTAAAAATCTTTTTTTTCTAGATGAATGTCTATCTGGCACCCTGTATTGGAAAGATTTGCTTTGTATAGCAAAAGAAGTAGGCTTCAGTAGACCATTTCTTGTATCAGCAACTCCATTTGCAGTGAATAAGGAAGACTTTAAAAGAAAATTAGGTATGTAGGATTATATTGTATAACGAAATATGAGTATTATTTAAACATTGCATTCTTTTTTTAATGTAGTCGTAACTACAGTGGGTTATGCAAACAAAGTGCCAAGCGGTAATAATTTATGTTTAATAATAATGGTTATTTAATTTATTTTTTCTTTGCGATTCAATGGAATTGTTATTTCATGTACTTCGAAGGTATTTTATGCGTTTGTAAATGCTTTCAAAATAAATATTTAATTTGGTACTTCGTGGCTTTAGTTCATTCATTATTCTTTGTTTTCTCCAGGTGATGCGCGTTTCGCATCCGTGACTTATCGCCTGTTCAAGCTTCCTTCGGATGCAAATGTTGCACCGACACAAGTCATCTATAAAGGGACTATTCCAGACCACGAGAAGAGATTCAAATTTGATGTTAAAAACGTATTTAAGGTGTGTTACAGTGGGAAAACGTAATCCTCTCACTTTCTCTCTTTCTCCTCCCCTCTCTCTCTTTCTTATTCAAGGAGGGAATTAAAACGAAAACAAACTGGGTGACTTTTGCATACACGTGTGTATGTGAAACGTATATTTCATCTATAATGAAATCAAAATGGTTTCAGTATATTAGGTCATACATATTTATGCTATTAAAATATTGTCATAATAATGAATTTATAGGTTTGATCTTTAAAATTAACATTTTAACTTACTATGATGAAGTATTTTTTTCCTTTTATGGCTGTTTATAAGTAAACAAAATGATTTAGATATTTTTTTCATTCATTCATTTTATATTTTTTTGATAAAACAATTTTTTGTAGAAAGGAGAGGCCCTTAAAGTTACAGGACCTGTGGCAGCGTCCCTGAAATGTTCTCGATTCTCAGATGACTTTGTGTTCCAGCCAGTCACAGAGGACGTATGTGGACCAAACGAGGTAAGGTCATGTGGTATAAGCATTGTAGATAAGAAAAAATCCAGTATAACTGATTAAAGTTTCAAATTAATCATGGGCAATTATAATTGATGAACTTCAGGCTAAAGTGTTCAAAATAGCAAATATATTTTTTACAAAAAAAAAAAAAAAACAAAAAAAAAAACATGATGGTTAATATGAACACACAGATACAACATCTTTTTTTCGTTAAAAAATATATAAATATTTCTTTGTAATGTTCATTTTTTCTCATTTCTATTTTTATAATAATTTCATGAAATGTATTTATATTATAAGATTTTGCAATTTCACAATAAAAGAGAAAACATACCAAATATAATGATTGAAACAATTTTCCCCATTTGTAAATGAATGATTGTATGTTGTTTAATTTTCCTTCTCGAGATGTTTTAACTCATATGGAGACACACCATTTGCCAATGGATAGGTTTCAACTTTGTCTTATTTGTAAATTGAAACAAAGCTATCAAGGATGTCATCTAAGTTTCTACATATACAAAGCCTTTTAACAACAGAACTGTTGGTACCTTACACCACCAAAAAATTTAATTGTTGCCCTATTTATAGAAACATGCATTAGTCAAAATACTGAACCTTTATACCAGTAAGACATTCCTTTTATTCAGCACCGTTAAATTGAAAATCATAGAACAAAAAAAAAATTAACATTAATACTTTAAAACTTAAATCTATAGTCTTTGCCGTCTCTGTTTTTTTCAAATGAAACATCTCATTTGCTAGATGAAATTAGAAAACCCATTCGACTACTTGGATATCCAACCCTAGAATGCTGTTGTACTGGATGTATTAATTCCTGTGGACGTCTGTTTACTGAAGAAAAAGAATAAATGATTCTCATATGTTATAATACAAAGCTTAATGACATGTAAAGACTTGCCATGCAAACATTTATATGTAGGCTTCAGATTTTGTCGCTTTTCAAAATAATCTATCATTACCTCTGCTTTGGATATATATGTAAATTTCACAATTAAAGTAACTCTTTCAAAAGAACGTGCACGTGTTTGTCATTTTTATGAATACATTTACAGTTTATATGAATAATATTGATTTATTATACCTCTTATCAGAACATCATTTTTATCTTTGTCTTTTTTATCTTTTAAATTGAAGTCCTTTTACTTGATTTTAATTCGTTTAAATTCTGTTTAAATTATTTGTTTTATACCAAATATTAAACATCTGTTTTATACTACATTTGACAACGGAATGTTCATTTAACTAGTACTTGATGAACAGAAAGGACCCAAGGCGTGTATGACCAGTCAAAAGGGGATGCTTACTCCCTCAAGGCACCCGATCTCACCTCGGGTGTTTCCAGGGGTCTATGTTCACTAATGTCCCATTAAAAATTGTTATTGCTTGAAATTTTTACGATATCTTTCACTTTTCATTTTCTTTACCCTTTACTCTATTGCTTTAAAGTGTTTCTTATTTTGATAGCTATGTAAATAAACGAATATAATGAATCATGGAGATAAAAACAAACAGTAAGCAGGGTTGAAAGTAAATTTAAGTGAAACATTCATTGTTTATGAATCCTGATATGTGTAAATACAGACCATGATTCTTCTTTTGTCTTGTTTTGATTTTCAAATGCCATGTCTTTCGTTGTACCTCAGATTAATCCAAATGTATATTTTAAGTGTTATGTTTAAATAAAAAAAAAATGTTTTTAAGCTGTTGCTTTTCCCTGTGCGATTGTACCATCTATTGACACCAAAGTCAATTACTTTATGAATTAAGTGCCTTTATATCTTTTATTATGCTGTATTACCTATTAATCGACACTCCTTGTGATAGATTTATCAAGATCTTTAATGTTTAAAATATGACATTGTCCTCTTCATAGTTTTTCCATGCATCGTCTTATATACTTTTCCAGAGAATTCTAGCTGAAATGAAGTGATATAAAACGAGATTATTAATACGCAATAGAAGCACTCGAGTACCTAGGCTTTATAGACGACCATGTTCTAAATTTTGCATTTACCTCTATCCAATAAATTGATAATTTAGAACATAGCTCGCTAGACATATTGTACACGAGTGATTATGAACTGTGCATGCATCAAGCATGTATCTGTACTTATCTGTACTTTTATTCAAGGCATCCGATAGATAAACATATAGATCGTTTTCTCTGTCCCTGTACGTTTTCTGTGAAATACAAGTTTGTAAAACATTCATATTTATGCATGTAGATGTAGCTTCTAGATTTGAAAAGTTTTTGTTGCTTTTTTTGCCTTTTTAAACATTTGTTGTTTAAAAAACCCTGATCTTAAATATAACTACCAAGCTACGATAAAACCAATACGATTAAAATCAAATTAAATATTATTTTAATCATGCATGCAACATTGATATATCAGAAAGCTTTTTTTATATTAAAATTGCAAAGATTTATTAAAATACCTTGTAGGGAAAAATATACACACTGCAATATTCTAGAAGAACATGTAAGTTATAGAAAACTATTTTGATCGGTGCATCTGCACCGGTAATTAAGAATGCCACCTGCATTTTGGTTTTATTAGAATTTAAATTAATAAAAAGCTTCTCAAAGTAGGTCGAGCACTATTTATATGTCCTGTTTTTTGCTCTCACGTTAGTTGCTACTCTTACCGTACCACAGGTACATGTAATTGATAAAAGGACGTGCTGGTAAAATACAGGACCTTTCAAAGGTAAGTCTTAAATTGTTATTGGTAAAATTATTGTAGAATCTCCCAAAGATACAATTTGTTAGTTATATTTTCACTTCTAAAAACAAGATACAATCATTTAACAAAATACTTAGAGAAAACACCAAAATTTGTGTAAAATCTGCAGATTCCATGTCTTCTTCAGAAAGGTAGAGGAATCCTTCATATAGCGTCTTGCATTATCCAAATGTAAATTTCAATCAATCTCAGGATTTTAATGTTTACTTTCAATTGCTCTGTCTAATATATCATGCGTACTCTGAATCTTTTTAAAAAGAATTTTTCAAGCTAACATTGGTGTTGAAAACTGTGGGAGCCATTCTGACATTTTATCAAATGTTCATTGCCACAAGTACAATCATCGCCTAAAATTTCCTTTAAGATAAATTGTTTTTCATCTTTCTTCCTTTTCTCTCTCTCTTTCCCTCTCTTAAATTAAGGGAAGAATGGTCTGTCAGGTTAATTCAAGAGAGATGCCTATGGAGAGAACGATCATAGGCATTTATTCCTGCTGTTCAATCCTATTCAATGAATAAAATATATTTTAAATTAAGAGAGATTCCGTAAGGCTTTGAGGATAACAGAAATATCAAAACGTTTTTGTTCTGTGAAATACAAGAAGATTCATAGTTTCATAGAAGGCAGGAAAATGACAGTAAGTGTAAATAAAGTCGACCAGAGTTCATTTCGTATTAATGATTATTACTAAAATTTATTGAAACTGACAAATGAAAAATTACTGCGTTCATCAATTGCAGAATTCTAAAAAGTTTCATTCCTAAACTTTCAATTCTCCAAAGCATGTAAGAGAAAAAAAAATCAATAGCTAGTGCACAAATTTTACTACGACGATAGGTTTTATTCAGAAATGTCAATAGGGATTGAAGTGCACCTTGATAAAACCCTCGAAATGCAAATATTTAAGGGACTGGCTCATGATATATAAAACGGACTTCCTGCTCTATCAGGTAATACCTAAGTTTTACCAAACAATATATTTGCAGATGTTTCAAAAAAGCATTCAATTATTTCACGACAAGTTTTTTTGGATATCTTTAAAAACTGCTTTTCAAATTTTATTTCTTGTCATTGATCATTTACAGGATTGCCTATAGGTTATAACATTAAGCGCTTGATTCTACAGAAAAGTACTTTTTAGTTGATACGATCCAATGAAGTCCTCATTGAAAATATTAAGTCTTTGAAGATTATCTTCCAAAGATCTGTTGGAGTTCCAAAGCGCACGCATCATGTTCCTGTTTTAGCTGACCTGCCCTTATTTAAAGATATTTTCCCCAAAAAGTCACTCGGAGCTCCTCGGGTGGCTCGTACCTCGGACAATAACGAATGAATGAATGAGCGGAGTCCGCTGAGGATTGCCGATTGCCAAAAGGTTCCACATAAGAAGGGAAAAAAGTAACTTTTGCCATGACCTTCATAGTCGCTGTGGTTTTGACATTTGCTCTGAAATCGCAAATTAAGGAGTCGATCCTTATGTTTTGGGTTCGAATACAACAGCCCATTGCAGGACCAGGAAAGGGAGTGCCTTCGCATAAACCGTCCTGAACGTGGACTCATGTTGCAGTAGGCGCTGGCATGAAAAAGACAAGTCACTGCTTATTCGCCATAAGTGCCAAACATAGGTCTAAAATATGCAGTCCTCACCGGCAAATTGTGGGGTCTTAAAATTAGTTAAAATTCTCGAAAGGGACGTTAAACAAAGAAATGAACAAATAGATATCGACGACCGTCTATCAATATACAGTTGTTATTTTCTTTCATGGTTAAACACAAAATATTCACAAGTTAATTCGGAGAAAACACCACAAAATATATCAGATGTATCCGGTATTATTTCAAATTTGAACTTTTTGGTACAAAAGACGGCAATAATCAGCTTAATACTGAACTATGTACCAAATTCAAACTTAAAAATCTCCATTTTTTGTATTTAGACTACAAATTAGTAAGAGCTATCTGGACTAATATAATGAACCATACGTTTCTTGAAAAAAAAAACTTTGCGAAACACGTTTTTTCTCCTCCCACCGAAACATACCACTTGTCTCTTGTTATAAGATAGTGTAATTACACAATAACGATAAACTTGATGCATGTTTTATAGAAAAAGTAACCACTGTTTTTATAGAAACATTCCCTTCAGCAATGAACCGATGTTCCTCTCTGAATGATCGGGGAACCTTTTCCATAAAGTATTCATAAATACAATCTTAAATCATTTAAAAGTGAAATACTTCATTCCTTTCAGCTTCCAATCGTAATTTTATTTAATGAATCGAAATGGACAGTTATTGAAAATAAAAAAAAAATTGTATGAAATTCTTTACAGAAATAAGACATGGAATGTTCCAAGGTTTACGAATCCGTAAAGGATCATTATGGTAACCTTCAAGATGACCGGAACAACCAAGTTTGTGTGACCTTAAGTTCAGAGGTCAGCCAAGCGGTGAAGGATGCACTTGGAGCTATCCCCGAAGACATAACTGCCAAGTAAATATCCAATACATGAATTCACAAGAATTTTTCATGGTCTAATTAAGAATTTAAAAAAAAACCATGTAAAACTTTCTTATAATTAATTTGCGAACCAGTGTTTCAGAGTTGCATGTAATTGTTTTGTACATTGGAGATTACATTAGTAAAGACACCACATATTCCGTTCCTTTTTGTTCATTTCTCTACAGAAATCTACAGAATTCACTATAGAAACTACTCAATCTTTCATGTTTAAAGTCAAGATTTTGCAAATTGTCATAACAAATCCTTGTTTGCAAAAACAGTCTGTAGTTTTTAAAAGGCTTACATTGGTAATGCCAGCTACCCAATCCTTTTATCTTTTGTTGCATAATACAATATATTCGAATCAAATAAAATCTGCCATCAGGTCGAATGTAGTATATTTTTTTTCTTACAAACAATTGGAACATTCTCATCCTTTTTTTTTTTTTTTTTTTACAATTTTTTTTCTCTTTCAACTGATCTTTCAACTGGTCTGGTCGAAAAGAGAAGTTTACTGCTTGAACACCGATCACAGCTGTGCTGTATTTAGAGGTCTGTGTTTGCTCTTTTTAAAAGCTATATTTGTTGATTGGCCTTTTGAGAATGCTACTTATTTTTCTATTCCCTTTATTTTCGATTGCTAGTTAAGTCATGAATAAGCGACAACCATCACATACTTCAGTCGGCAGAGCGCTTTCGTGATCGGAAGGTTTTGGGTTCAAGCCCCCGTCTGCGACAGACCAAAGCCGATAAAATATAGACAGCAACTTTCCTTGCCAAGCGTTCAGTACTTTGCTGTGAACGTTTCGAGTCTTTCTAATGAAACATTAAAAACTGAGGCCTCTGTCACAGCAGAGATTTGCATGATAAAGATCCATAAAAGCTCATTGGCCCTGAGTGCCAAGTGAAAGTCTAATTTTCTAATTTTTTAACATTCTCGAATGAGACTTAAACAACAATCAATCAGTGTAAAATACGAGGCACCCAGAAATTAATGTTAATGAACCAAAATGAGAAGTAAATATATCTTAAAATATTTATTTATAAAGATTTGATGGATGCGGACTGGTGGTTCCAGAGAAGGTGGAGGGAAGGAAGATCTTGGATTTAGGGAGTGGATGTGGGCGGGACAGTTTTATTCTCAGTAAGCTGATTGGTCCAAATGGTCATGTGACTGGGATTGACATAACAGAGGAAATGGTATGTCAAGCTATTTTCTTTCTTCAATGAACGTAATATGAACTTCATAATTATCAAGTTATCAAGTTATTTTGTCTTAAATTTCATTTTAAAAGTTTTAACATTCTGTTTGAGTAAAATACAATGCCAGTCTGTCTAAATTTTCGTTAAGTTATCATTTACAAGTACAGAAAAATAAAGAGGAAAGGTAGAAATGTGATTTTCTATTTCATTAAACATATTTGTAGTAAAATAATTTTGAGATTAATTATAAACGTTGCAATTGATTGCCCTTCTAAAAATAATTGTAGGTTGCCCTTTCAAACAAATACATAGAATACCACAGAGAAAAATTTGGATATAAAGAGGCTAACACAAACTTTATACAGGGCTACATTGAGAAGTTGAGAGAAGCCGGACTGAAGGAAAATTACTATGATATCATCATGTACGTATCTTTAAAATTAAAGTTTCGTCTGTTTGAAAAATAAGATAGGAAAAATTGATAGTTTAGGCTCTCTGTTGTTAATAAACAACAAAATCTAATTACTTCCAAGTGTCGAAATATACAGAAAACATTGTGTATTAATTGAGACACGAACTGTGAAATAAATGTTTCATGAATTGTGCTGAACCCTTTAGAAGTTTTCTTAAATTTCATTCAATTAAAAATGTACCTGTAAATTGCTGGTTGAAAAAAATCAATTTTTTAAGTGTCATCGAACTTAGATTAAGGAAAACAATATAAATTGTATTCTTTCATTTTGTTGTATAATGCTCTAGGTTAAATTATCGCAAAATTCGCTTGAAAGTATACACTTTGACCGATATTGTGATGCATTTGACAGTATTGACAATAAAACAGTAAACTTTTTAAATAAATCTGATGTTTTACGTGTTTTACCACGGTGACCTATGAATTAATATTTTTCACTGAATACAGATGTAACAAGTACTCCGTTATCAGCTGGGTAATCACATGATTTCCAGTATTAATCCGCGTTTTCAATTTGCGTGTGTTGAAATAGCTCACGTGTGAATAAAACATGGAGAAACAAATTTTTGATGCACTGAGAAGTCAAACAAAACATCGAAAATGTAAAATGCCGTAAATAGGAAAAAGGCAGAAATACATGTAGTCATGTAGGATAAAAAAAATGTGCGCCATCGAACGACATTCATGTACCGTCTGCGTAAGAAATGCATGTATATCACTTGCATAGAAATTATTTTATATTTTCTTTCTTTGTTTTTTCTTCTGGTTCGAAAAGTCCAATACGCATTTCCACAATCAAACATAGCTATTCGCTAAGCCGTTGGACGCTTTCCAACTTATACAGGCAAAGGGTACCGCACGAGAGTGGGCAGCCCTTAACCAATTAAAATGCTTGTTTTATAAAATGAAACCCTTGATTCAAATTGCTCAATTGTCGAATCCAACAGTGTCATCACTCAAGGCTATTGGTATTTCGGTCGGAGTGTATACTTTCAAGCGAGATTTGCTATACAACTTTCCATTATTTTTCGTTTTAGTTCAAACGGTGTAATCAACCTCACCCCAGACAAAAAAGCCGTTTTGAAGGAAGCTTACACAGTTTTGAAAGTACTTGCTTCATTCCTTTAGTAGTGTCTTTTTATTTCATTTAATTATACTATCACTAGTTAAAAATTCACTTGTTCAGTTCCACCTTTGATTTTTTCCTACTGGATAACTTTTGTTCTTAAAACAGAAAATAATCTAACATTCAGCTTTAAAAAAAAATAAGAAGAAGAATCACAATTAATAGTAAAGTTGAGCAACTGCAATTATAATTGTTACAACTAAGTTTTGTTTCTTTGCTAGGAAGGAGGAGAACTCCACTTCAGTGATGTTTATGCTGATAGAGAGTTGGGTTGTTCAGTCAGAAATGACAAAGAATTATGGAGTATGCTGCAAGGATTTGTAATTTTGTTATGAAAAGGACCCCCCTTTTTTAATGAAATAGAAAATGTCATGTGCCATATTATTTTTAGTTTTCAAAATCCAGTGTAATCAAATCAAAATTCAAGCTTGATTTGGTTTATTACTTGTATCAAGATTAAGGATAATTAAATTAAACCTGTTTTTGCTGATGAAAGTCATTAGAGACTCTCATTTCAGTGACATTAAAAAAATTCTATGGATAAAAGAACAAGCACATTTTGTTTACGAAAAATTTTCATAATTATAACAACTTGATAAATTTATGAGGTACGTGATTTCAGCTTGGATATTTTACACATGATATCTAAAAAGGGTGAAGTAACCAGCATTCAGGAAGGTTTTCAAATGTATCTTGTATTACAACTGCTGTTAATTTTGAAACATTTCTTTTTTTACAGATGAATGTTTATCGGGAACCCTTTATTGGAAAGATTTACTTTCTATAGCAAAAGAAGCAGGTTTCAGTAGACCATTTCTTGTATCAGCAACACCCTTTGCAGTGAATAAGGAAGACTTTAAAAGAAAATTAGGTTTGTAGTATTATATTGTACAGTATAATGCCATTTTAATTTTATTTAAGCCTTATTTTGAAAGATGTAATCATAACTGCAGCGATGTATGGAAAACAAATCGACACGCTATATTACGTTTATTTCTAATAATTATTATTAGCTCACCTGAGCCGCAGGCTTAAAATTTGTCCGTTGTCTGTCGTTGTCGTTGTTATAAACTTTTCTTATTATCACCTTCTTCTCAAGAACAACAAGGCCGTTTTCAACCAAACCTGTAACAGCGTATCCTTGGGTGAAGGGGATTCAAGTTTGTTCAAATGAAGGGCCTCCCCTTCTTCCAAGGGGAGATAATTATGATTTAGTGAAAAATTAATGGCATTTAAAAAAAAAACTTGTCAAGAACCACTAGGCCAGGAAAAATGAAACTCAGGTGGAGGCATCCTAGGGTAGTTTATATTCCAGTTTGCACAAATTGTGACCTGCGGGGTAGGACGGGGCCACAATGGCTGATCAAAGTTTAACATAGGAATATATAAGAAAAAATCTTTTAAAATCTTCTTTATCAGAACCAGAGGGCCAGGAAAGATGAAACTCATTTGGAAACATCCTCAGGTAATGTAGATTCAAGTTTGTACAAATCATGGTCCCAGAGGCTAGAGCAGGGCCACAATGGCTGATCAAAGTTTTACATAGGAATATATAGGAAAAATCTTTAAAAATCTTCTTCTCTAGAACTACTGGGCCAGGAAAGATGAAACTCATGTGAAAGCATTCTCAGGTAGTGTAGATTCAAGTTTTTTTTTTCAAATTATGACACCAGGAGGGCGGGGTCACAATGTCTGAACAAACATTTACATAGGAATATAAAGCAAAAATCTTTTAAAAATCTTCCCCAGAATCATAGGCCCAGGAAAGATGAAACTCATCAGGAATCATCCTCAGGTAGTGTAGATTCAAGTTTCTTCAAATGATGACCCCCAGGGGTAAGGCGGGGACACAATGGCTAATCAATGTTTTACATATGGATACATAGGAAAAGTCTTTTAAAAATTTTCTTCTCCAGAACCATTGGGCCAGGAAAGATGAAACTTATGTGGAAGCATCCACAGATAGTTGTTCAAATCATGAATCCTGCGATTAGGGTGTGGCCTCAATGAGGGATCAAAGTTTTCGCAGCTAGGTTAAGGCCGCCCATAAGAAATATGCCTTAAAAATATATATAATGTTGTTATCTTTTTTATATGCATAAGTTTATATCAATCTAATTAAAATTAGATCTTTGATCCGCTCCAGTTTGATCGCTACACATTGTATCTCATCTCTGTCAGTGCAGCGAGATCAAGTTGGCTTTGATTTTACAATCAAATAGTGTTACAAAGACAAGACAAATTACACATTTATTTAGTTTACTATAATGATGAGAAATCACAGTATTTAAGAGTTTATGATAAAGAAAATTATTGTTTATTCGCCGAGATTCATTTGTACAGTTTCACTGTGACGTCATAATTGATTTCCCGAAGCTCTGCATAGACTGATATAAATTTGGGTGTCCTTAACCTAGCTGCGTTGTAAAAGAATATATAGAAAAAAAATCTTCTCCAAATTGACATGTAAGCATCTGCAAGTAGTGAAGATTTAAATTTTTTTCAGTCATGACCAATGGGGGGGGGGGGTTAGCAAGGGGTCATAATGGGAGATCAAGTAAAATGTTGGAAAAATCTTTAAAAATCTCCTTTTCAAGTATGGAAAAATTATCCAAGCATGCTTTATTGATATAGTAACATTTTAAAGGAATAGAAAATTCAAATCCCCCCTCCTCCAACAAGTAAATCTTAATACTGAAACTGATTTGTGTTTTTTGACTAGCCCATGTGCTCAGGTAAGCGATCTGGCCCATGGTCCTCTTGTATTATTTTATTTTCTTTGTGGTTCAATGCAATTTTTAAATGCTATTAAAATAAATATCAGTTAAGGTTAATTGATTCTCTGATAAGAGAGATAACATTTAATGACATAAATGTCTATTATTATCTTATAAATTTTCCAAGTTAAAGTGTCTTTATTGCCCAGTTTTGCCCTGCAAGCTATGCTATAAATGTTTGTATTTTACTTATAAAATATATTTCTTTTGGAACATCATTAAAGATCAAGCAGCATTTTTTTATGAATGAGCTGAGGGTTTATGAACCTTATGCCCTGTTCACACGGAGAGTTTAATTCGAATTAAGCGTAAAGTTACTGCGAATTAGCTTCGCTTAGCGTTCACACGGAGAATTTAATGCGAATTAGTTTAATTCGAATTAGTTTACTGCGCATTAAATTACTTCTCTTTAGCTCCGTGTGAACGCTAAGCGAAGCTAATTCGAATTAAATTTTGAGGCATGCGTAATGGCAAAAGTAGGTCAAATGCCACATGTCCGTGGTCAAATTGAAGGATTTGTGCTATTTTTGAGTGAAAAACTAAGGAAAATTATGTTAATCACTAAAATGTGTGTACAGACACTGTAACATTATGTCAAATGCATCTGCTCTTGCATAAGGTGACGTGATTTGCAAATGACGTCATAAGAGCCATTCTGACGCCTGGCCGTAGAAGTAGAATTTTAATTCGCATTAGTTTACTTCGCATTAGCTGTCGTGTGAATGCAATTTAATTCGCATTAATTTGATTCGCATTAGTTTACTTCGCATTAACTTACTGCGAATTAAACTCGTCCTGTGAACAGGGCATTAAATACACACGATTTTGGTACTTTGTGGCTTTAGCTCTTTCATTATATTTGTTTTCTCCAGGTGATGCCCATTTCGCGTCAGTGACTTATCGTCTGTTCAAGCTTCCTTCGGATGCAAATGTTGCACCGACACAAGTCATCTACAAAGGAACTATCCCAGACCACGAGAATAAATTCAAATTTGATGTTAAAAACGTATTTAAGGTGGGTTACAAGGGAAAACTCTTCTCTCTTTCTTTCACTTTTTTTCTCCCCTCTCTCTTTCTTATTCAAGGTGGGTTTAAAAGGTAAACATACTGTTTGACAATTGTATATATGTGAAATATATATATTTTAGCTTTTAATGAAATCGTTATGATTTCAGTATATGTAGACATAGTTTTTATGCTATTACATTGTAAGATATGAATATAAGAATGTAACTGTACATAGGTTTGATCTTGATAGGAATACTAGTAATTTAAAAAAAATTCCAAGCAATATTATGAAGTTATTTCCCCCTTACATAAAAAAATATATATTTCAATGTTTATTTCCATTTAGTTTTTTTGGGGGGAATAATTCGCATTTTTCTCAGAAAGGTGAGGCCGTCACTGTTACAGGACCAGTTGCTGTGGCTCTGAAATGTTCCCGATTCTCTGATGACTTTGTGTTCCAGTCAGTCCCGGAGGACTTAGGAGGAACATTTGAGGTAAAGCTGTGTCGTCTAAACATTGTAGATGGAAAAAGTCAGAATGACTGAATGTATGTTTTAAATTAACCACTGACAATTGTTGTTGCAAAATTCTAGAATCTTGTACCTCATGCTATCTAAAAATATTATTGTTGCTGATATTCTTTATTAAAAAAAACCAACAAAAACAACCAAACATAAAAACAAACACAATCAAAAACCCACATGTATAAATACTTAACTTACCCATCGATAAGACAATAATCAAAACAGATTCCCTCCATTCAACACAGTTAAATCGAAAATTATAAAACAAAAGATTTATCATTGAAACTTTGAAATTGTAAACTATATTCTTCATTTTGCAATTTCTTTTTTATAATTGAAAATCTAACACTTTTATAGGTGGATTTAGAAAACCCATTCGACTACATGGATAACTAACCCTAGAATGGTTAGAATAGACAGTCCTCCTGTTGTGCTGGAACGATCTTGTGCTGTGGAGATTACTGATAACTGATAAAAAAAACTGGAGTGCTGTTTACTGAGAAAGGAAAAAAAAAATGAATGATTCTCACTGTCTTATTATAATTCACACAAATAATACATACAAAATAAGGACAAGATAAGATTTGCCATGTTTGCGTGTAAGCTTTATATTAAAACATAAAATTCTCTTTAAAAAATGTCATTATCTCCATTTTTTCACAATTAAAGTAACTCTTTCAAATAAAAGTGCACTTGTGTTCGTCTTTTTTTTATGAATACACTTTCAGTTTTAATAAAATATTAATTTATTATTCATCAAATCAGAACGTCATCTAAATCTTTGTTTCAATTGAAGCCCTTAGTCTTAATTTGAATTTTTAGTTTCAATTACTTGTTTATATTAATTGTTCAACCTCTGCTTTGCACTGAATTTGACAACGGAATGTTCCGTCTACGTGATCAATAGAAAGGATTCACGGCGATGTGACCAGTCAAAAGGGGATGCTTACTCCTCCTAGGCACCTGATCTCAGCTCGGGTGTTTCTAGGGGTCCATGTTTGCAAATGCCCCGTAAAAATGGTATTGTTTGAATTTTTTATGAGATCGATAAATGTTCGTTTTCTTTACCCTTTATCATTAGATTTCAATTACTTTAAAAGTGGTTCTTATTTCAATGGCTATGTGAATAAACGAATACAGTAAAACTCGGTTATAACGAAGTCACTGGAATCTAAGAAATCACTTCGCTATATCCGTTATTAATTATAACCGTACTAAGAAATTCTTTAAATATATGTAGCTTGGGATCCAAAATAACTTCGCTATATCCGTAAATTCGCTATTACCCGTGTTCGTACTAAACGAGTTTTGCTGTATAATGGAACATGGAGATAAGAAAATACTAAGCAAGGTTAAAAGTTAACAGTGAAGTGAAACATTCATTGTTTATGAATCATGATTTGTAAATACAGACACGAATTTTTATTTTTGTTTTGGTCTTTAAATGCCTTTGATGTCTTTTGCTGTACCTTAATTGTAATTAAAATTTTTTAAACCAAGTGTGTGTCCTTCAGTTTTATTTATTCATTTTTTTACTCTGTCTATTTCATGGGCCTTTTGAAATAAACTTTTAAGTGCTGTGTTAAAAAGCGTTTTAAGCTGCTGTTTTTCTCTGCAGGTGCGTCTTCTGCGATTGTCTCACCTATTGACACCAAAGTCAATTACATTATAAATTAACTGTCTTTATATCTATTATTGTGCTGTATTACCTACTGATCGACACTTCTTGTAATAAAGTAATCAAGAACTTTAATTGATTTCATCAACATTAAACGGTGAAGTAGAATACGTGAAATAATTATTATTTGCAATATTTCCATCAATCAATATTGGGCAAACTCAATTTTTAGCTGTGATCTCTTTGCAATTATAATTTTAAATCACAATTTTTCCCTAGGGTACTGGAAAAAGTACGGGGTGTTAGAAAAAAATATCTATGGTATTATTGAAAATTCTTTTCATCTTATCTACCACATAATTTATTAAATATTAGAGGAAATGGCACATGTCTCATGATGGAATGAAGAACCTAATTGCTTAATTTGTTGGGATTTTTTAAAAAATATTTTTCGCAGGAAATAAAACAGAAAAAACTATACTACCGGTACATGTATTAGGCATCATTACACCAAGCCATTCGTCCACGAAATGTATGAGAGTTCTCATACTACTGCTCTTAAATTGGGAAACACGACTACTTGCGCACAGAAAAGAACCATTGGATTTAAACATAAATTTGGAATATGTTCGAAGCATTTATAAATATGCAACATACCTAATTCTTTCTAGATTTCTCATTAGGCGATTCTCTATTAAATACATACGAAAAACAAAATGTTGGACATGAATTGTCTTTGATTTTAATCAATGCATCGAGTTTGAATTCCTAAAGTTGTTGAACGTGGAAATTAGTCCTTTGGATGCCACCTAATAAAACCGAAGTTCAAAAATGATTACGTTAAAACAAAATTTAATACATATAAACGTGTATACAAAAACATTATAAACCTACATATATGTAGTAAATCTATTTTTCAGTTTTAATTACAATTTTAAAAGTTTAATTAAATAAAAGGCTATATATGTTATAGACAATGACTGATTAACAAAATGTTATTTCATATGTCACCAGTCGGCATGTGATGCTAATTCCTCCATGGTCCTTCACCTGATCCCACTTCTGATGTTTATGAGGTCCGTGTTTGCTCTGCTTCAGATTTGAATTGCTTAATGAACTTTTGAGTTTGAATACTGTTCGTTATCTCGTGTATTTATCATGTAGACAGTATAAAATTCAGATGTGCCGATTCACAGAGATTGTTCATCGAAAGGGAAACAACAAAATCTGTCTAAATCTGACTTTTTCAGCTATAAAAGCAATCTATCTTGAAGGAAAATGATGTGTAGCTTTCTTCATATCGATTGGCTGAAAAATATTTGCATACTGAATTGCCAACAGATTTTTCCGTTTTCTTGATCATACAAGAGGCCCAGGGGCCACATCGCTCACCTGAGCAATTGGCTAGGAAAAAGCACACATCAGATCAGAACTGAAAGTTTACTGAGGGGGGGGGGGGCTTGAATTTTAACCCCCCAGGGGGTCATGATTTGAACAAACTTGAATCTACACTACCTGAGGATGATTCCCTATAAATATTACTAAGCATGGCTTTAAAGTACTTGAAAAGATTTTAAAAGGTTTCCCTAGATATTCCTATGTAAAACTTTTATCGTGCATTTGGCCCCACCCTACCGCCGGGGGTCATGATTTGAACAAACTTGAATCTACACTACCTGGGGATGATTCCACAAGAGTTTCATCTTTCCTGTCTCAATGGTTCTTGAGAAGAAGATTTTTCCTATATATTCCTATGTAAAACTTTGATCGGCCATTTTGGCCCACCTTACCCCTGGGGGTCATGATTTGAACAAAATTGAATCTACACTACCTGACGATGATTCCACAAGAGTTTCATCTTTCCTGGTCCAGTGGTTCTTGAGAAAAAGATTTTTAAAAATTTTTCCTATATATTCCTATGTAAAACTTTGATCGGCCACTTTGGCCCCACCCTACCCCAGGGGGTCATGATTTGAACAAACTTGAATCTACACTGCCTGAGGATGATTCCATATGAGTTTTATCTTTGCTGGCCCAGTGGTTCTTGAGAAGATTTTTAAAGATTTTTCCTATATATTGCTATGTAAAATTTTGAGAAGAAGATGAAAATGTGAAAAGTTTACAACAACAACGACAACGACAGACAACGAACAAATTGTGATCAGAAAAGCTCACTTGAGCCTTGGGCTCAGGTGAGCTAACAAGAGGCCCATGGGCCGCATCGCTCACCTGAGCACTAAGGGTAGGAAAAAGTAGAAAATGGTTTTTTATTGTAAAGTTTAAATCCAAAAGGAGTCCCATGACCAATCATGGATTTGTTATTTTTTAGAAAATGATTTTTAAAGAATTTTCCTATATATATCTTTGAAAACTTTGGTCTGCCATTTTGGCCCCGCCTTACCCCCAGGGGTCATAATTTGAACAAACTTGAATCCACACTACCTGAGCATGTTTCCATATAAATATGATGAATTATGGCTTTGTCATTCTTGAGAAGAAGATTTTTAAAGAATCTTGCTATATATTTCTATGTAAAACTTTAAACACTGTCATTATCTCCATTTTTTTCACAATTAAAGTAACTCTTTCAAATAAAAGTGCACTTGTGTTTGTCTTTTTTATGAATAGATTTTCAGTTTTAATAAAATTTTAATTTATTATTCATCAAATCAGAATGTCATCTAAATCTTTGTTTCCATTGAAGCCCTTAGTCTTAATTTGAATTTGTATTTTTAATTACTTGTTTATATTAATTGTTTAACCTCTGCTTTGCACTGAATTTGACAACGGAATGTTCCGTCTACGTGATCAATAGAAAGGATTCACGGCGATGTGACCAGTGAAAAGGGGATGGTTGCTCCTCTTGGGCACCCGATCTCACCTCGGGTGTTTCCAGGGGTTCATGTTTACAAATGCCCCGTAAAAATGGTATTGTTTGAATTTTTTATGAGATCGATAAATTTTTGTTTTCTTTACCCTTTATCATTAGATTTCAATTGCTTTAAAAGTGGTTCTTATTTTAATGGCTATGTGAATAAACGAATATAATGGAACATGGAGATAAGAAAACAGTAAGCAAGGTTAAAAGTTAACAGTGAAGTGAAACATTCATTGTTTATGGATCATGATTTGTAAATACAGACCACGATTCCTTTTTTTTTTGGTTTTGTTTTGGTCTTTAAATGCCATTGATGTCTTCTGTTGTACCTTAATTGTAATTAAATCCAAGTGTGTGTCCTTCAGTTTTATTTATTCATTTTTTTACTCTGTCTATTTCATGGGTCTTTTGAAATAAACTTTTAAGTGCTGTGTTTTTTAAAAAGTGTTTTAAGCTGCTGTTTTTCTCTGCAGGTGCGTCCTCTGCGATTGTCTCAGCTATTGACGCCAAAGTCAATTACATTATAAATTAACTGTCTTTATGTCTATTATTGTGCTGTATTACCTATTGATCGACACTCCTTGTAATAAATTAATCAAGAACTTTAATTTCAACATTAAACAGTGAAGTATAATACGTGAAATAATTATTATTTGCAATATTTCCATCAATCAATATGCGGCAAACTCAATTTTTTGCTCTTTGCAATTATAATTTTAAATTACAATTTTTCCCTAGGGTACTGGAAAAAGTACGGGGTGTTAGAAAAAAATATCTATGGTATTATTGAAAATTCTTTTCATCTTATCTACCACATAATTTATTAAATATTAGTGGAAATGGCACATGTCTCGTGATGGAATGAAGCACTGAATTGCTTAATTTGTTGGGAATTTTTAAAAAAAATTCGCAGGAAATAAAACAGAAAAAACTATACTACCGTTATTATGCATCATTACACCAAGCCATTCGTCCACGAAATATATGAGATTTTTCATAATACTGCTCTAAAATTGGGAAATACGACTACTCGCGCACAGAAAAGAAGAACCATTGGATTTAAACATAAATTTGGAATATGTTCGAAGCATTTATAAATATACAACATACCTTAATTTTTTTTCTAAATTTCTCATTAATTTAGGCGATTCTCTATTAAATACATATGAAAAGCATATGGTGGACATGAATTGTCTTTGATTTTAATCAATGCATAGAGTTTGAATTCCTAAAGTTGTTGAACGTGGAGATTGGTCCTTTGGATGCCACCTAATAAAACCGAAGTTCAAAAATGATTACGTTAAAACAAAATTTAATACATATAAACGTGTATACAAAAACATTATAAACGTACATATATGTAGTAAATCCATTTTTCAGTTTTAATTACAATTTTAAAAGTTTGATTAAATATAAGGCTATACATGTTATAGAAAATGACTGATCAACAAAATGTTATTTTATATGTCACCAGTCGGCAGGTATGCTAATTCCTCCATGGTCCTCCACCTGATCCGACCTATGATGGTTTAGATGTCCGTGTTTACTGTGCGTTTGATTTGTATTGCTCAATGAACTTTTGAGTTTGAATACTGTTCGTTATCTCGATGTTTTTATCATGTAGACAGTATAAAATTCAGGACTCAGATGTGCCGATTCACAGAGATTGTTCATCGAAAGGAAAACAACAAAATCTGTCTTAATATGACTTTTTTTCAGCTATAATAGCAATCTATCATGAAGTGGCGAATGATGTTTGGCTTTCTTCATATCAATTGTTTGAAAAATATTTGCACACTGAATTGTCAACGGACTTTTCTGTTTGTCTGATCATAAAAAGGACGCCCATTGGGTGTGACAGGTTGACAGGGGATGCTTACTCCTCCATGACATCTGATCCCACCGACGATGTTTAGGAGGTTTGTGTTTGTTCATTTGCTCTTCTCCAGGTTTGTATTCAAGCTTTAATACTGTTCGTTGTCTATACTTTTCGTTACAGAGATAGCAGAACGTTCTTATCTGCCAAGATTAAGATGCTGTTTGTTTAAATTTTTTGTAAAGACGGAATTAGCTTCGGTCATACAATCTTCTCTCATCCTTCTCTCTCCATCACGTATCATATCAAAATAAACACAGTTTGATTTAAAACATTTACGTTACCTGGAACAATAACAAATGTTATGCCTTGTACCATTCATGTAAATTAAAAACTTTATTTGTTTATTTTATACTTTGATCGAAATAAAAATATTTAATTGTGTTCAATTGTGTCGAACACGGATATTGCGAATTCACGGATATAGCGAAGTCATTTTTGATCCCCAACTAAATGATTTTAATGAATTTCTTATACGATATAACGAATTACAGTTATAGCGAAGTAATTTCATATGCCCCAGTGACCTCGTTATAACCGAGTTTTACTGTATATTTAAATCCGAAGATGTCAACCCGAGTTTCGAAAAATAAATTTTAATTATTTATTCTTGATGGTGTCAAACTAGGAGCAAATGTTTTTATTTTAAATTTTGAGCCCCTAAGAAGACCAAAGATAATATTGATTGAAGTGATAGTTTTTTATGCTTATGCTTAATATCTGTAGGAACTCCAATTATGTCACTCGTGATATACATGTTTGTAGAAAGGTTAGTTTTTAGTTTCCATTGCTGCTGTCTTTTGTTTGGAACAGAGGTTCTCCAATCGCTGGCAGTCTAACAGGACGATGAAGACAAAGAACAAGGTCAGTACCGCGATACCAATGCCCCCCATACACACAGCTACAGGACGGTCCTCGTATACACTTATCTTTGTCAGCTTAAACGCTAAATAAATAAAAAAAATACTACAGACCTACTTCTATAAATATAAATTATTTCCACGCGCCACGAGACTTCTGTATTCACCTAGTAAACAGAATTATCCGTAATCATCATTAGTATTTGACAGCTTATTGGATAAAAATTTTTGTGATGTATGTTAGTCAAAATTTGATTCAAGGATACTTTTACAGGGAACTTTATTATAAAGAATGTAGAATTTGTTAAATGATAATTTTTAAAGTCCATTGACATCAACTTATTTTTCTGAAGTCAGTTTCGTTTAAAAATAGTTCAAAAGACTCACCATTCGTGTCCCTTGGGTTAACATGGAGTTCTTTTATTATTTCTTCTATAGACGTGATGGTAGTATTGCCATTAAATGAACTCTTGGGTCTGATAGCACTGCTTACAAATCCTTTCCAAATGGAACAAAGCGCATTTTTATTATTAAAGAATTAATTATTTTTCTAATTCCCTTTTTAATGAAATCTGCATGTGTGCGACAAGCATCTACTCTATAATAATACCATCATTTCATTAACCGCATAGTGATAACAAAAATATTAATGAATTTTAAATATAGCGTGAGAATGTTTGAAAGTCTACATTAGCCGTTATGTGACAATAATTATACGTGTTAGGGTTCATGTAAATTACGGAATTTTTTTTCAAACATTTTCTGTTTAAACTTCATACCTTGAGAAAACACTACTCACCCTCTTTGAAACAAAGGGCACCAGAGACAAAAGAGGGGTCTGTAAAGCTGCACTGTCTCCATAACTGGGTTCCATCGGTCGATGTCAGAAAACACAATTCTCCCGAGGGAGCGGTCATCATTGCAGCCGCCATAGGCTCAATATTCCAGTTCCTAGGCGTACCTTTGATGTTATGAACACCAAGCCACAACTCTGTGTTTATACCTGTTGAGCTGATGATTGTGAAAGTGAAACTAAGACATTTAACCCTGATTAAAAAATACTTTGCAAAACGATCATCAAACAAACATCATTTTAATATCACATACACAATTTTATCAAATGTATTTGTAGATGCAGTCACGTATCTGTGATATTTTGGACAACTCATTACAATATATCATGGTATGTTTTATACAGATTTAAGATGTGTGGTGACTTTTTCCATCTTCATTTCCATATTATTTTATACTTTAACCCTTCAACATTCACTAAAAATCGATAAACAATATAATATACACTTCAAATCTGAATTGTCTACATGAGAAGTAAACATTGAATGTGACCATGGGGTCGACATTTAGATCTACTGACGACGTTTCATAAATTAACAATAGTTATATAATAATTCGACTCGATATATCTCAGTTACCACGAAATAAAAAGAATGTCAATTTTAGAAAAAAATATATTTCCTCTGAGTACGATCAGTTTTTAAAATGAGACATTTCACTGACAAATAAGTTAAGATTAGAGGGATTTCAGTACATTCATTTAAAGCCAACATTTTGTGAATTCTGACTTCATACTAATTTTGTCATGATTAATTTGACAACGTAGTATTCTGTCTACCTGATCAAAATTAAGGACTGAGAATGTGTGTGTCTGGTCGAAGGGGGAGGCTCACTCCTACATGGCACCTGATCCCATATCTGAATTTTCTGGGGAGACGTCTCTGATCATAGATTTTTATTGATTTTTCAGAATTGAATTTATGTAGCATTATTAACAATGAATATCGAACATGTAATGGATTCGCAGAGTCGTCATACGAATTTTTTTTTTCTAAATGGGAAATATACGAACAACAGTTTCATGAAATCAATGTAATTTTTAACAAAGAAACGATAATTCATATTTCAGATCTTTCTTTTTACTATAAGCTTAATCACATAAATGTCTGAGGATAAGAAACTCACTTGGCAATAGATCTTATAAGGTTCGTTATAAATGAGAACTGGCTATCATCTATAACGGGAGATAACTGCCCACCCTCACACCGACACTTGTCCATGGCGTCTTTTACAGACCACGTGGTCTGATTGACAGCCTTTGACGTCATCCAATAGCAGTGACGCCTGTGTTTCTGGTCGGCTGTGGAGTTCCAAGATAAACATTGACGGGTCCAATCTGAAAATGTAACAAAACATGACATAACATATATCCGACTTTACAGGTAATCAGCTTTAATTTTGCTTTGTCACTTTAATTTTCAAAGAATTCGTGCATTGACTGAAAACTGTTAATTATCTTCACTTTTCGTGCGCATGTCGTTTTCAGTCGTGCATATTTAAGATTCGTAAATATACGCGTGAAATTAACGTAATTTCGCAAGAAGCGACACACGCGAAATACAATAACTCGACTTTATTTTTATGGTGTTGAAATCTATGTAAAATCTCTTGATCAACCGTCCATTCGCGAATTATCATTCTCGCGATTTTTGATAATATAATAATTTCACATTTGCGATAATAAATTCTAGAAAAAATAAGAATCTACAGTGTCTAAGATTGTTAGAATGAGAAAGAAAGTCATGAGCTCTTTGATTTTTTATTAGATTTAATTCTAATGTTAAATACTGTTAGTCACTCATTCATTAGAGTTATGTTTAACAGTTTCAGGTATCATTGAAGCATTTAATGAGTTGAATATTAGATTATCTCTAGTCTTTGTAAAATATCATATCAGTATTTTTACATCTGAAAACGAAAGCAAGATTTCCATCTCTAAAAAATAAGGTCGATAGAACTGTTTTCCCACAAATTTTAATTAAAAAAAATGGTTTAATAACCATTTAATTTTCTACTTAAATAAATAATTGTGGGAAGACAGTACCAAAGAAAGTTGAAACTGTTTTAAAATGTAATCTCGAATATTACTACGAGTATACTTTATTTAAATATATTCAACAGATACTATATGGAAAAAAATGTAGATGATTTAAAAAAAAATGATTCTTATTTTTCAAAATAGATTGAAATTGTGAAATATAGCTACATATAATATTCATGATAATTATGTCGTGCTAGTAATTTCATGTTAAGAATTTATACAATGAACGCTTTAATACATTCATATACCTTCCATGTAACACAGCATATCAGTTGTTGTGAAGGAGCACTCCTTGTCTTGTGTTTGATTGTCGTGATACACTCCACCATGCGATTTGGAATTAATTACAGCACAGTTTTGGTCTGTGTCGCCATTTGGTTGGCTCACTGGATAATTTGTCATTGTGAATAAAAATTCATTTCCAGGGATACTACTACCATCAAAATTTACCCACGTGTCCTCTTTGATAACGTCCATAGTTCCAATATATGTTTCTACTCTGAAAATAATATTTGCAGGACATACTTATTTGTGTTTTTTTTTTTTAGTTTAAGGTCAAGATCTAGTAAATGAAAGGTGCCTACAGATTTATCAAACTTGAGAAATGAATTCCTTTATTGATGCTTTACAACTTCAGCTTGGTCAAATAAGGTGTTTCGGGGCATAATTTGTAGGTAAACAAGATAAAAAACTGTATTTTAAATTGTCATTTTCAATGAAATATTAAGAAAACAAGTCATGAATATGGGAGTTACCTTCATATTCGACAAAGAAAATGTATCCAGATTGCCTACAGTCTCTCAGAAAATGGTAATTAGTATGTTCCTGGCCTCTTCTTTAAATAAATATCAAATTTAATATAGTTTAATATAATTTACTTTTCATGTGATTTTAAATTGAATGTCATAAAAATACCCTATTTTCTACATTATTCTGCTAAAGCCGTAAAGTACGGGGGAAAAAAGCTGAAATTGATTATGACGTCATGATTGATCTAGCATCAAAACATTAGTCTAAAGTTATTTACTAGATCTTGACCTTAAAATATATTTTATTGAGTGAATTGGATTGAACAGTATGCATAAATACATACGATTGTTCTCTCCATTCGTTTGTTTACTTATTTGTTCGATTAAAATATAATTTTTAATGGAGGACAAATTGATTTTAGGAGCATGCGGTGTTATATACTGGAATAGATTACAAAACAAAAGTTGCCTTTGCATATTAATTATACCAGCTTTGCATTAATTTTGTATAACGGATTTTCTTTCAAACACACGTTTACCAATTTAATAATGATCTTTCACCATATTCACAGTCATTTAAAATAAAAAAAAAAATAGGCGTTTTTGATCAATTATCAATAAATAATATCAGTGACAATACTCAACACTGAACACTTTATACAAAAATTAAGAGAAACATTTTCAACTGAAATAAGGGGAAAGGTAACAGATTGGGAGGATGACTTACGCTGTAGGTGGTCGAAGCTTGAGAAGAAAATTAAATTGGTAGCTGTCGATGTAGGGCGCCAAACGGCCACCATACTGAGCGCAGTACTCGTCTGCTTCAAAGGCAGTTCTTGAAGAGATACGGTTAAACCAGTAACAGTGTTTCCGGTATTTTCCATCAAGGGAGGAAACCCATTCTAAGCAGGATAAACAGGAAGTCCCTGGTCAAAAGAATAATAAAATTAGAAGTCGTCTAGCTATCAATTAAATAATAAATTACGTACATTTATGAAGTATATGGAGATAACCCTCAGTATTAAGCTCAAAAGTCCAATAAACAATACAAAAAAAGAATCAGGGCAAACACGGACCCCCGAAACATCAGAGGTGGGATCACGTACTGTGATGGAGTGAGCATCCCCTGCCGAATGGTCACAATCGTTTAATATTGTAAACCAATATGTCAATAATCTAAGATAAAAAAGATACGTTATCAAATTTGTTTGAGCAACCTTTTCATCGCAGGTACTTTAAAGATGGACATTCCGGCTCGTTTCTATATACCGGTTTATTTTTTTTTTAAATCTCGGATCGACACACCCTTTTTCCTACTTTTGTATTGTAATACCCACTACATGTTTTTAAAATCCAATCGTTTAGTCTCTGTATGCTATTAAGAAATATCTTGTATCGACTGATTCGTAAAAAGAAAGACATTGAAATTATAACGAACTAGTGCAACTATTAATTAGTAGAAGGTAATAATAAGGTATGTATTTATTGCTATAGCAATTACTATATACCCTCCCGCTTTTCAAGTGGGGGGCATATAGATACTATAGACAAGTGTCTGTCACATGTGTGTGACCTTAGGATATTTAACTGACTACACACGACAAGGGTCAACTATAGACTAAGTTGTTTTGCAAACTTTTTCAAGGTAAATTTTCTTTATTTATAGAGTAATATGACCTCTTTATTTAAGAGTAATATGACGCTATAACCTGCAGATGGTGTTTTTAACTTATTATGCCCACCACTTGAAAAGCGGGAGGGTATATACCTGTAATAATCGGGATGTCCGTTTGTTACGCTTTGGGGTTCCCATCTCTTATCCGCAACTCCTCTCATACCACTGAGTGAAATTTCAAGTGACTTTCACAGAATCTTTATTACAAATTGCCATTGTTACCTGCTAGTTTACTATTTCATCCGACACATATTTTAGGATTCCCATAGCAAAACATGGACATTGTTATTACATTCATATTAGAGGCGGGGGTATCACTTAGTGGGCTCATTGCTCACAGTACCTCTATCTTATACTCAAAAACATGCGCCGAATATAATTAGTTTTTAAACTTAGACAGGCTACTATCAGATAAGTTGATGTTGCAGGTATTTCAATAATTCGTTTTACGTCAGCATTTTGTAAATTCTTTGGTCATTATAATGGCCTTTTGAGCAAAAATAACCTAATCATTTGTACATGCTTTGGCTGACTTGTTACATATATTTTGTAAGGCCTTTGTTATTGTACTGACTTCGAATATAGAATGTTCCGTCTATGAACTTATAGGGCTCACGGCGGCTGCGGCCGGTTAACAGGGGATGTGTTATCCTACTAAGCCCCTGATCCAGCTCTAATATTTCCAGAGGTTCTTTTAGCCCTCTATACAATTTTGTTTATTTTTTATAGATCTTTTGAGATGTTTGATCACTGTTCGTTATCTTCTTTCATTTTTAGATTACACAAAATTCTCGAGGGATTTTTTTTTTATAGTTTTTTCCCAATCATGAAATGGAAAATGGAGGGGATGCTTACTCCTCCATGGCACCTGATCCCACCTTTGATGTTTTGGAGGTCCGTTTTTACTCTGCTCCTACATTGTATTTTGTACTATTTAATATATGATGGAAACAACTGAGTTTTTTTCAAAATGCCAGACCTAATGTCTGCCACAGATATTCTCCTATTCACACACAAAAAATTACTGCACAATCATTATTCATTTCAATAACACTGCATTTAAAAACGAAGTTTTCATTCTGATACAAAACAAGCGGCAACAAATATTAAATGTGATATATACATCATACGCAAAAACGTTTGGTTTTATTGAGAATTTACTTCGAATTCAAACATATTTTTAAACATAAAAATACCAAGATAATTAGATCGTTGGAATAGTCTGAATAAGTCTCTTACCTTGTAGAAAAGCAGAAACAATGATATATATTTTCATAAAATGCTCCATCTGATATATGTGTTTTGATTTTTTTCCGTTTTTCAAAAAATCCATTCTTCAATCACACCATATCTGCGCTTTTCTCTAGAGTTGTAAACACTCACATTAAAAAATATCGGTAATTCACTGAAAAACCCAAATGAGAAGTAATCCCTTGGAAAGTTCTTTATTGATCATGTAGCAACGAGCTGCAACCGTCATAAAAAAATAGGTAGGACTCTGACAATTGGAATTAATGGAAATTATTTAAGAGGGAACGCGACATGTTTTTTCATTATTCATACATGGCAGGATAATGTACATAAGGTGTTTTGAAAAGTCAATTGTTTCGATCTGGAAGGGTCTTTGTTGTTAAATAAAGGAAATTAATTTCAACTTTAAAGTTTTGAATCCAATTAACCACGAAGGTTAACAAAAATTGAGTAAATTCATGAATTCATTCTAACGTTTCTTGAAAACTTAACTTTTGCAACAGTTTTCAATTCAAATGATGAAAATATAAAATTATAAATTGAAAAAAATCCATACAATATTATTATACACCCGGTATCTATTTTATAGAACATGCAAAATGTGTACTTATTCAACTAATTAAGCTTTAGGTTTTAATAAAATTTTCAATTCTTATCCCATATATAAAAACATTTAATCAATAATGTAATTTATACATTTATATCATTCTTTTTGTTCCCTACAACTCTAAGACTGGTGCAAACGAAACCCACATCTGATATAAAAATTTATGAAAGAATATTCCCTTACCCCTAGAAAACAATATTTATAGCAATAATTAATTTGTTAATTTAACAATCATATAAGTATTCTGCGAAAAAAACTGTACATTTTCAAAATGTAAATTTGCATCAAGGGGCAAACCCAAATATCAGCTTTTGAATATTTAAAATTCGGGAAACGCAAAGTTACATAATGATTGGCGTTAGAAATGATTGCTGGTGTCCCAGTGAGAAAATGACATTATCTCATGTAATATTTAATAACATAAAATGTTCCTTGTTGTCAATGAACCATCAGTCAATTTAATTTTATAATGCTCAAAAGTCTTCTTTCATCAGGCACGTAGCATCGTTTTTGAAAGTGGGGGGGGGGCAACCTGAGTAATTTTTTTTTTTACTTTACCTAAAAAAGTTGGCAAGCAAGGGGGGGGGGGTAGTGGCCAACTTTCTTCAAGGCAAACTTCCTTTCACTTCCAATTTTTTCCTATATTTTCTTGCTATGTATATACTGTGGTAAAAAATGGGGGGGCCAACCATCTTTTCAATAGACATTTTCTATAGCAAAGGTAATGTTGGGAAAAAAAGCCGGGGGGGGGGGGGGGGCAGCCCCCCCCCCCTGGCCCCCCCGGATACTACGTGCCTGTTCATTAAAAAAAAATAATTTTCAATATATATTTATAAGTGAGGTAGTCTATTTTAAATATTTAGCACAAAGAAGTCAAGACTTTTGAATATCTTTTATCTTGAGAAAAGATACGTTTATATGCGTAGAATTTTAACTTAAGTGACGAAGAGGCAAAAAGAGATTAAATTTCTTCATTAACACTTTTCTCTCTCCTATTTTTTCTTTGCAAATGCTATTGATCTTTCAAACCTTTAATAGCCTAAACATCATATTACGCAGGAGGTAAAAATGTTCATTAAGCTTTATATACTGTATGTTTCAACTGAAGTTCAGATAGAAAAATTTTCATATTAAAGCCTTTTTAATCCTTTAATCCTTTATAATGCTGAGAAGCAAATAACTGATGGCTTAGCGGGTCTCTGTGAATTTTTAGAAACCATTTCAAGAAGACAAGGGAGTTGCGTATGATAAACCTTTTCTTATAATGTCCCGTGAATAGTATTCTAGGCCCAGGATTTCAGTTCTTATTGCTGATACAGAAAGTTTTAAATCTTATCTCCTCTGATTTTAATGCGTTCTTTACCAGTCTCCTGGATTCTTGAGGTAATGGTTTATGTCCTTTTGTAGAATTAAGCTGATCACTGCAAAAATAGGTTAACTATATTTCTTTCAGAAACGCAGCAAGAAGCTATGATGTAACTAGTGTCGGGTAATAATGCACGTAATTAAAGGAAATTGATATGTAACCTTGAAATATTTTATTTCCATAATAATAATAATAATAAATAATTGTTGAGTAGGTAGTTTGTTAAAAAGGAAAATAAATATTTCTTAGTCTTGACAAAAATAAAAAAAAAAAAAAAGATTTTTGTTTCAAAACAAAGGACATGTAGGCATGTACAGGTCGAATGAGTTCATGGACTACAAACGCTTTATTATAAGTGAGGAGGTTTGAACAAACTACTAATGCTAAATAAGGTATTATGTGTAACAATACTTTCTTAATAAATATTTGTTGTGGTATTATTTGGTAAACTAAATACTATCCTTTTTACTTTCGTTAAACCTCAGATGCTTCTCCATATAATATATTATATATATCATGTTATCATACACATTTGCACCAAAATATATTCGCATATTGCAACAGAGACCTTGGATGGATCTATATAGCTGCATTTATACCATCGTATATTTTTACTTCAAGTACCAATCCTCATTTCTCTGCCAGAATGTACTTTGCTCTGTATTTGCCCAAAAATGATATCAACAAATATTTGAATTGAAAAGAGCATTTTTTACAAATGTCAATGAAATATACAGCAGTATTGTTTGATATTAAATATAATCTATGTAGCTGCATTTTATCCAGATCCGAATACTACTCCTCGAGTAAAAGGAGCGGCAGTGGGTGTACTGGACGCCATAGGTTCCCCATTATTTCAGTTCAGAGTTGTATCCTTAATTTGTTTGAAGGCAATGTCGATACTGTGTGTTTACAGCAGCTGTGCTGGTTTTGTGAAGAATTTATGAATGACATGTATAGTTCTGCTCCTGTTAAAAGAACAGTATGCAGAATATTTAATTTCGGGAAATTATATTATATTATTTGATATCGAGATTTGATAAAAGTTTCATAAGCTCAATAACATCTTTTTTTATTGTATATTACATTTAACCTTTTGATTTACATCTCATTGTTATATCATACAACATCATGATTATATACTATTATAAATGTATTTTTTAAAAATATTTTCTGAAAAAATACCATAAACAATTTTTTAGTCAATTAGCTGACTGACGTTTCTTATACTAATAGTTAGTTCCATTATTTACAAACTGGATTTCGACAGATTAACCCGTTTTTTCCGACCACGACAAGGAGCACACGGTGGGTGTGACCGGTCGGCAGGGGATTCTTACTCCTCCATGTCATCTGATCCTACCTCTGATGTTTTAGGGGTCCATGTTTGCTCTGCTCCTGATTTGTAATGTTAAATGGACTTTTGAAATTAAATACTGTTCGTTATGTCTAAATATTTCATTGTTAATGATTCTCAAAGACCAATAATACTAGTTATCTTAAGAAAAGCCCCGATCCATTGAAAATCTGTCATGAAGAAGGCAGCAAATGCTGCTTTAAAGAAAGCTTTTTATCTGAAAGAAATTATTTCAAACATATTTGAATATGTAACAATATTAAAGCACTTACATGTACTTAATTAAAGAATACTTTCCTCACTCCCTGCAGTTAACAACAAAGCTTGCTTGCGTCTCGTTCAGTTAGTGGTCCAAAGAAATGTTTATTCAATCAAAATAAATATTTGGATATGTTCTTGTTGCTAAAAGTTTACATTTAAATGATTACATAAACATACGCAAAATGTCTTACATGGGTACATGAACATACGTAACTGTTACAGTTCGTCTAATTTAAAATTTTAACCAACAATGAATGAAGCAAAACATGGTTATTTGTTTAATATGTGGAGATCCTTAATCCATTACAATAAAAGGAATTGCATCCTTTGCTTAACAACACAATGAATGTGCTTTTAAAAGAATCAGTTTTTGTTTTCAGTTTCTTGCTGACCTTTGTTGTTTGGAACAGTACTTTTCCATTTGGTAGCAGTCTAGCAAGACGAAGAAAACAATTAACGATAAAAGTACAACAGTACCACCCCCCCCCTTTTTCAACTTCAATTTGTCACTGGTAATATATGGAGAAAGATTAGTTTTTAGTTCCCATCGCTACTTTCTGTTCTTTGGAACACAGCTTCACCATTTGTTGGCAGTCTAGTAGGACGATAAAAATAATTACTGATGCAAGTACACCAATTCCAACAGCCCCCATAGCCACAGCCGCGGGACGATCCTCGTATACACTGATCTTTGTCAGTTTAAACGCTAGAAATCAAAGTATGAATCTCATTATCAATAAAAAATTATAATCAAATCAAATGAAGTTGCTGTGATATTTATTTGCAATAATTATTTGATTGTTTTTCATTAACCAATATTCACTGAATCGTTATTCCTAAAAAGAAGCCGTAATTTAATGAATGTTTTTATTATTATTCATGACTAATATAATAACTCATATAAATAATTATAATTGCTTATACTATTAGAAAACAATTATGTATGTATTATCCAAAATAACCGAATAAACTATTTACCGTTGGTGTCCTTTGGGCTTACATAGAGCTCTTGTTTGATTTCTTCTGCGGACATTGCGTTGCCAAATTCCGAAAAAAAAATTAGTAGTAATGGGAAAAGTTCTTTTTGCTAAAAAGTTTGGTAATTAATTACCTTTTAATATCCATGCTCTGCTATCAAAAAAAAAACAATTTTTGTTATAATAACATACAGAAAAAAAGTTTGCTTATATCTCAAGGAAAAAATGACACCAATTAAGCTAAAAAAATTGTGTTAATTACTATTTTATGAACACATTTTCTGCTTTGGTATCGTACATGTACATTTAAAAAAATGCGCTATCATTGGACGTTTTGTTTAATGTTTAAAAAACTATAATTTGTTTGATGAAATCTCCACGTTTAAATTCGCCGAACGTATGATTAGGATTAGGGCGAGGGCGAAAGGACCTGGGCGAAAAAAAAAAGGTCCAAAATTCCCTTGCATACAGTATACATACCTTCTTTGTAGCACAAGGCACCAGAGATACTAGATGGGTCTGAGAAGTCACAATCTCGCCAGAACTGAGTGCCGAACGTAAATATCAGAAAACACTCTTCTCCCGAAGGAGCACCAATAATTGTTGTAGCCACGGATGGATCGCCATTCCAGTTCCAAGGTCTGTCATTAATGTTATGGAGACCAAGCCACAAGTCCGTAGGGTCTATACCTGTTGTGCTGAAGTTGTGTGAAAATTTTAAATTAAAGTGTGATAAAAATGAAAGAAATCAATGGAATATCGTTTCCGTAGACATAAGAATCAGAGGGTCCTAATTACAGCTGCTTCTGATATATGTAAACATCTGAACATCTCATTTGCGATGTATTTGGAAAAGCCTGAACTTTGCATAACAACTTCATTTTTTAATTTGTCCATTATGAAGACATATGTTGGTATGATGTCCTTTGTCTGATTGTCTATCAAATGACCGTACGTGACTATGCTTTCTTTCGTTCCTTTACAGAATTATATCAATTAGTGTTTGGTTAAATACTGTATATGTATATATGTCTGTTATTTATTTGTTTGTTTGTTAGATTTTTAACGTTCATCTGATAAATTTCTCACTTATAGGGACACGACACTACTTGGCGGTGAAGAGCTGCAAATATTTTCCTATACTTCCTATCATATGTCATTCAAAAGTAATCATTAAAGTTAAATTTTTGAAAATTAGGTCAAATATGAAGTCAAGGCCAAGGTGTAAAATTCATAGCCTGCTCGAAAACATCCTGTCAAAGGTAATACACATGTCATATCTGAAAGCCTTATCTTTTCTCAATCAAAAGTAATAGGGAAAGGAAAGAAAATTTTTGACATTTTAAGGTCAAACTTCAAGGTCAAGATCATGGAGTGAAAAACCATAGTATCTATTTATGGAAAAGTTTTGCCTCAGTTAATTCGAATTAATTATGAAAGCCCTCTCTTCTTATTCAAACGTAATGATTAAGGTTACATTTTTTGTGACAGACGGACAAACCAACAAACAGATGATGTTTTAGTGTCCCCTCGCTTTTGTGAAAGTAGAAAGTAAAAATTAGTCTCATGAAAAATGAAAAATGGCGTAGATAATGAACATTGGTCGATCTCAAAAACTCTGTAAAGAATACACATCTGTAAAGTGGGCATAAATTACGACTACATTTAACTTAATTGAAAGTTTGGCATTTTAAAAAAAACATGTACCCAGGAGGAGTTAGCATCCTTGTCGACCGTCCACACCCACATACCACCAACTAAAGTGAAGTCATCAAAACATGCAGAAGAGAAGCGACACAGTGTTGAAATATTGGCAAAAATACAAACCTGGCAACAGAACTGATAAGATTTGTAATAAAAGTTAACTGGTCATCATCTATGACTGGGGCTAGATGTCCACCTTCACGCCGACACTTGTCCATGGCGTCCATCACAGTCCACGTGGTCTGATTGGCCGTCTTAAATGTGAGCCAATAGTAGTGCTCTCTTAATTTCTGGTCTGCTGAAGACTTCCACGATAAAGAGAGATTGGTCCAATCTGAGGAAAACGAATATCACAAAATTTTAGAATAAAAAAGTCATAAAATAAAGAATCTTCAAAAGAAGTTTTAAAAAAAATAGACTTTTGATAATATTTTTAAAGGGAAATCCGAGTTTTAGCTGTCAGGCAAAGGCTAAGGATTTTATGAGGATTTGAGATGTGCCTATCACTACAGTAAAAAAAAACTTGATTCGTGTTTCAAATATGTGCACTTTATCAAAGCGGTTTTATGTATGCCAATACGCCATTTTAGAATGACTTCAATGAATAAAGAATTCTTTGTCACCCTGTCTAAGTCGAAATTTCATTGATAGTATATGTAAGTGTTTTTTTTCAACAAATCTCTGAACTACGATCATGGCAATTTACAACTATTTAACCAGGTTCTTTTTCAGAAAATATTGTCAAAATATCAAGTTCCTTAGCATTTTCTACCCATAATCTAAAAACAAAACAATAACAATTTTCTATTGCAAATAACAAAATACAGAATTTCTACTGTTTCCAATAAAATAAAAGTAATAAAAATGATTGGTACCTAACGGTTTAATCATTATATAAAATCAAAGTACGTAAAATTTAAAAAAAATTATCTTAATGCTATTTTTAAACCTAATACATGTTATGTACAAAGAGATGCAGGAACCAACAAAACCAAAAATCACACCTTCCGTGTAACACAACATGTCAGTTGTTAAGTAGGAGCACGATTTATCTTGTGTTCGATTGTCGTAGTATACTCCGCCATATTGTTTTGGATTCAAGACAGCACAGTTCTGAGACCTTCCACCATTAGGCTGGGATATCGGATAATTAGTCATCGTAAATAAAAATTCGTTCCCAGGGATACTACTGCCATCAAAGTTTACCCAGGTATTCTCCTCAACTATATCCATCGTTCCTATAAACGTGCTACTTCTGAAAATTTATGAAAGATATTAATATCGTACTAGATAAAGAGACTGAAAACCGGTTTTTCTTGTTCTCGTTAGGCCTGAGAAAGTCTGTCAAGATTCTAAGTTTAAAATATTTCAGAAAAGAGTATGGATTCCAAATTTTATAGAGAGATGTTGTTCACTATTGCATCAACACACCACACATCAATATTTAATGAGTCAATAGTGCAGTTATTAAAGTTGTGATGGCGATGAAGCAATGGTTTGATAGCGCGATGACGATAAAGCGATGGTGGGATAGTGCCATGACGATGAAGCGATATTTACTTTCACTGCATCGTGAAATTGCACTTATCAATTGTTGATGCATTGTCATGTCATCGCATCGTCGTCATCATGCTATCACTGTTTCATCATAGCACCAACTCATTATTGCGTCATCTACCATTCAGTCGATGCTCAAGGATGCGATAATAAACTCTTTCCCATTCTATAGCAAAGTACTTCAATATATCCATGGTATTTCAGACATCTGTGTTAAGTTTAGTAAAGCTTATATATTCAAATTCTAATTAGATTCCTTTAGAAACTCTTTCAGGGAAAAAGGAGAAAATGCATATGAACATTTACGCTGTTGGAGGCCTAAGATCAACAAGGAAACTATATTGGTAGCTGTCAATGTAGGGCGCCAAACGACCACCACTCAAAGTGCAGTGTTCGTCTGCTTCAAATGCCGTCATTGAAGAGGAACTGTTGAACCAGTAACAGTGTTTCCGATACCTTCCATCAAGGGACGAAACCCATTCTAAGCAGGAAAAACAGGAACTCTCTGAAAGAGGAATTTAATTACAAGCTAAAAGTACTTTCATCTCACTATCTAGGACGCCGAGTGTCATTTTATTTACGATGCAGTTGTCTATGACATCAAATGTCGAGATTTTGAGGAATTGTTGTATTAAGTTTTAAAAAGTTTTGATGCTATAGACATTTGAAAAAAAAATTATATTAGTATATTCTGATTAGTATTTTAAGTATTTTTTTAAAGTCCATTCAAGTTTTTATGTTATAGAACTTTGAAAAAAATGGCAATTTAAAAAAAAAAAGTTCTTTCGAGTATTTAAGGATCAATATTTTATTTACACAACTCATAAATAAGCTTTAACACATATTGTTTGTTACAAGTTTCTTCTTTACAACAGTTAATATTTTAGTTTCATTTTGTATATAGTTACTCCCTGTGTACATAATTAATGAGTGTACAATTTTTTTCATGAAAAATGTTTATGCCGATGGATGAAAAAGAATAAGGTCTTGCTTAAATAAATGTTGTGTATGTGTCCATTGTCTCAAGCCACGGGGAGTTTGTCAACAGGTCTCTCCTACCCGTGGCTTCTTAAGCAAATAAAGTATCATAATCACGAAAAATCAAGTCTCATGTGTGACGTCATGTTATTAACCAGTGCAAATAACTGTTAATATTGCAGTTGACTTTAACGATAAATCACAGCAAATGTTCGGTAAACAGTGACTACATAAAGAAAGGTCGCACCTCGCAAGGTTATTTTCAACAAGTAATGATATTCATAAGTGATAATTTTCAATCATTAATCATAAGGGCTTGGTATAGTATTTGCTGCCATGGATCCAGCGATGTTTCTTACAATTTTTTTGTAGTGTTTTAAGAAGTTTAGGAATCCAGCACAGGTAGGGTAGATTCCACTCACCTCTTCATTTACTGGTTTATTAAATTTATTAAATACTGAAAGATAAGTTTGAAGTATTTCTTCCTTGGAAAGTGAAGTATGAGTATACGCAGGATATCCAGACATAAAATTTAGACCTAGTTGTTGAAAAAAAAAAGTTAAAAATGATGAGCCTTACAAATACAAATTACATTATTGCAAGCCTTGTTTGCTGGAACCACAACATATTTTTCTAAATAATTCAATTCATATTGATATTAACATAATATCTTTAATTTTTCTTTTGAGATGACCATTTTTGACCGTCACTGGAATAAAGTAGAAAAGAAAAATAGTTTTCTTTTGGTTTCCGGTTACGAGAAACCTATAATAATTTATATCTTCAGTCATGGGAACACATATTATCGAGGTAATAG